ACAAGTCTCTGGCTCTGCGGGTTTGAGCATGCACAAGTCTCTGGCTCTGCTGGTTTGAGCATGCACAAGTCTCTGGCTCTGCTGGTTTGAGCATGCACAAGTCTCTGGCTCTGCTGGTTTGAGCATGCACAAGTCTCTGGCTCTGCTGGTTTGAGCATGCACAAGTCTCTGGCTCTGCTGGTTTGAGCATGCACAAGTCTCTGGCTCTGCTGGTTTGAGCATGCACAAGTCTCTGGCTCTGCTGGTTTAAGCATGCACAAGTCTCTGGCTCTGCTGGTTTGAGCATGCACAAGTCTCTGGCTCTGCTGGTTTGAGCATGCACAAGTCTCTGGCTCTGCTGGTTTGAGCATGCACAAGTCTCTGGCTCTGCTGGTTTGAGCATGCACAAAGCCTATACTAGATTTAATCAGCTGGCACATACCGGTCATTCAGTTAGCATTGCAAAGAGGCATGATAGCATACCTCTTGCCAGCCCCTTGCTACATTAGCATAACTATGTATCTAAATTAGAATGTCGACCACCCAACAGGCCAAACAGTGGCAGCAGCAAAGAGACAAAGACCCCACACTACACTCCATTGCTCCGAACGCTACTGCAGTACTGGTGGGAGGACACATTTCAGACACGGAAGTCGTGGGTCATCTGTCAGGTCAGGTCACAGGTGCAAAGGTCCTGGTTGAAAACGTGCGAGCATTTCCAGTGTAAATTCCATCAGGCACGTTTGCACACACGCACCGCCATCAGGACTACGATGTAGTAGCACATGTCAACTCTCTGAAGTCCTAACCGTATCAATCATGCAAAATTGTGCTTTAGGCTATCGACTAAAGACTTAAAAGTGGGTAGCTACTAGCTATCGAGTGACGTGGTGGACATACCAGCGACAGCTATGCATCTGCAAATTCTGTGCAGTTACAGCCGTGCAAGTTGTAACTCACTACAGTCCATTTCAAAACTATAGACGCATGAACTCATACGTACGAGCCGTACGTACTGTAGCGCACGACAGCCGTGAGTTTTGCATGAGTGTTTTCTGGTTTTCAGATGTGTTTTTCAGGTTTTTCTTCGTCGCCGCGGGAAATACAAAAGATGCAAAACACGCAAAGTCGCAAATGAAAAGGTGTGAGGAAAGTCTCAAAAGAAATGAAAGTCTCAAATGAATCTTCTTCTTGCTTGCATTTTCTGAGTGCCTGACTCACTGTAATGGCTTCCAAGGCCCGTAAGAATCTCAGTGATGCCGAGAAAGATACGATTAGTCGTGTTCATTGTTTCTTCGAACAAGAGCTGGATTTTGATTGACGCTTGAGTATCCAAAATCCTCGTCGTCGAACTCACCTTGCAACTGGCGTGAGTGAAACCACTGTCACTCGTTGTGTCAGGCGAAGGGAACAGGGAGGCTCAAATCAAATCAAAAAGAGAAAATATAACTACCATCTCTACTGTATTTCACCCAACAAGATCCAAAACATGCAGAAAAGAAGAGAAAAAAGGCAGGAGGCGTGATGGGATTCGAATGCCCCACACTTAAAGGGGAAGTTAAGGCAAAAATTAAAATTTCACCAGTTGTAGTCTTCGGGGTGCTGAGTCGAATGGTCTTGGTCCGAGAAAGCTGAGACGCTCCCTTCCTACTTGAATCCCAATCGAACTCGCGCACTTCCACCGAAACTGGGTGACTGCGCCCTACTAGATGGGGATTTGTATGCAAAATGTCACTAAAAGCGCCGTTTCGTTCTTATAAAAGCACGGATGACCGCGATTGGCCCATATGTTGTAGTCTTTTGGACGCTGAGTCGACTGGTTTTGGTCCGAAAAGGCTGCGATGCAGCGTTCCTCCTTTATTCCCAATCGAACATGGTTGAACAAGCGGTCACGTGCTCCTGCGTACACCAGTCAGCTGGTCACCGTGCCTGCAGGGTACAACTTACTAGCCTGTTTGACCTTTTTTGGATGCAGTCCTGTCACTCGAGTTGAACCTTGGTGTGAAAGTTCTCGCCTGCTGGCGTGGTGACCAGGTGATTTGGGCACCCAGGAGCACGTGACCGCTTGTTCAACCATGTTCGATTGGGAATAAAGGAGGAACGCTGCATCGCAGCCTTTTCGGACCAAAACCAATCGACTCAGCGTCCAAAAGACTACAACATATGGGCCAATCGCGGTCATCCATGCTTTTATAAGAACGAAATGGCGCTTTTAGTGATATTTTGCATACAAATCCCCATCTAGTAGGGCGCAGTCACCCAGTTTCGGTGGAAGTGCGCGAGTTCGATTGGGATTCAAGTAGGAAGGGAGCGTCTCAGCTTCCTCGGAATACGACCATTCGACTCAGCACCCCGAAGACTACAACTGGTGAAATTTTAATTTTTGCCTTAACTTCCCCTTTTAAGTACTTGTACTGGAAATCACGGATCGAAACCACGAGGATACCAGGACCCGTACAAAAATGCACCCGCGATGGTCTGGGCGCAGCACTGTCTCAGCAGGAGCAAAAATCCAAAACAAACTGGTCAAACCCTTAAAACAAACTGGTCAAACCCTTCAAAACAGAAATTACATGTAAAACCGGAAAACCTGGCCTAAAAATAAACTTCAATTGTAGCGAAAACAAAGTATATAGCCAGAATTGTGAAGCGATGCAGAGACGGAATCTGGAGAAAAACTAAAAATATTTAAATAAATCCCATCGAACACTACGAGTCTATAGTTTTGAAATGGACTGTAGCTTCCGCTTCTACAATGTTGTAGGTTGTTTTGATCCTCAGTGACGTTCTAAAACAAGTGGTGCTTGTAAATACAAAATACGGAAAAAATGTCTAGGTCGCAGCGACGGAAATGGGAAAGCATACCGAAGAAGTACCATCAACCTGGTCCAAGCTGCCTATCGTTGATGCACTGATCATACGTACTTTCTTTTGTAAGCCGGAGGTTGCCAAGACCTGGAATGTACAAAATTGCCCGAGTTGGTAGGTGTGTTTGTATCACCACAATACGGCCTTGGCAGTTATCATCTTCTTCAGCTGCCTTCAATTGGTTTACATAATTGAATGCTTCGAAGTCTGAGTGCTCATGTCATGCTAACAAGCTCCCCGTGTTGTTATTCCTAGCAGCTTCAATTTCGCTATCAACCTCTCTCTCCATCGTCGACAATTATCACAGATTCAACACTCTACACTATCAGCATTGCACTGGGTGCATATGTCTCGAGACGAAATTAGCGGATCAACAACGCTTTGCTGGAGATAAACCGTCCTCAGGAGGACCTTCACGGTACCTGGAAGGGTATAAAAGACGGGATCGCTCACGCCTTTGGGAGAACATAGCAAACAACCTCCTCTTCGATTGACGATTCTCCAAAAAGTATGTGAAATGTACGTGCGCTGGTGCATTTCCACTGGCAAACTGATCCCTCATTACATGATCAGGGCTTGTTCAGCGAAATTCAAGTCGTCTTCCCGCTCGACTCGATCACTCCTGGAGACTCATTCTTGTTCGAGGAGTCTTCTCTTTCACCTACCTTCGTCTTGGCATCGAATACTCGGCGTCAAAAATGAAGCCGGAGTGCCCCTTTAATTTCGAAGGCGACAAAAGTGTTTAGTTGCCAGGCAATGTTACAACAAAATCCTGGGGTGGAACTTCTTAAGTGGCACTGCACCTGAGGATTCCATCTGCTCCAGTTCAAATGATTGCACTCCAGAAGTGCTAATCTAATAACCAGCAACACCGGATATGTGCCAGCAACCGATGCTAGACAACGGCATAGCCCAGTTAAACAGCGTGCCCAGTCAAAAACACGCATAGCAGTCTGACGAGCATGAAGACACCCACTGAACTGAGCAAAATGATGAAAACGTGACCAGTTATCACCAACTCGTGATCAGATTTCCCTGAGAACAAAAATAGCACAAAGCTGCCATTTCACAGTCTAGCTCCTCGCTCTAAATCACTGCACGATCATGGTTGCCAACATGCCGCAACGGTGTGAGAGAGAGAGTGTGTATGTGTGTGTGTGTGTGTGTGTGTGTGTGTGTGTGTTCTATTCTCTTGCGATTTCTCTCTCTTCTCTCTTCTTGTCGTTGTCTCCCGCTTCTGGGAGCGGCGTGTATGCGGTGCAGGCACTCTCTATCCACGTGCACATGTATAACTCAGTCGGGGTTTTTGCAAATGGGCGTTCGGCATCACTCTCAACAAGGACAATGTGGTAAACACCCAACCTTCAAAGAAAAAATGCTAATCAAAATTAAAGACTGCTACACAATTGTGATTTTGTATAGTAGAAACTGCTATGGAAAAATATGACAATAAATTCATCCCTGCATTCATCCCTGCACCGACCGACAACGTTAACGCTGTACAGTACTGTCGGGTAGCGCCGAAGAACGGAGTGCCGAAGAACGGAGTGCCGAAGAACGGAGTGCCGAAGAACGGAGTGCCGAAGAACGGAGTGCCAAAGAACGGAGTGCCAAAAAAACGGAGTGCCAAAGAACGGAGTGCCAAAGAACGGAGTACCAAAGAACGGAGTGCCAAAGAACGACCAGCTTAGATTTTCACCAAGCACAGCATACCAATGTATACACGGTGACTCGACTGTGCATAGACTGCAGGACATGAAAATAAGAACGGTCTAGGCTAGGAGGCTGAGCCCCCCCCCCCCCCCAATTCTTCGGCGACCAACAGTACTGTAGTGTATGTCCAGTCGCAGTGATAGGTATGGCTTGAGAGCAGTGTTGGGCATTTCGAATTCAGCACTAAAACTCTCGTCCAAAACAGAGCTGTGCCGGCGCTTTTCTTGATAATGTTCGGCACCATTCACGCTACAGCAACGCTAGTTCTTTGGAGATCACTACAACAGGTGAAGTTGCAAGAAGCCTCACGACGTCTACAGTCTTTGGGATCATCTCGTAGAAAACGTAAAAAAAAGTATCGTGTCCGTTCCCATAGGGAACACACGACGGCCGCTAACACCCGGTAAACCCCAGCGGCAGACTCAGCACCTAACGGTGGATCAGCTTGTAGTCGTGTACAATTTCAGGTAACATAAAAATCATCACTTCTAGTATAAAAATTTAAAAAGTAAAATTTCAACAAGGGTATGAAGCTGCGCTGCAAAAGAAGCTTACACAGGATATATAATAACAGTGATTATTAATTTTCATGACATGCACCGCCTTGAAATGTTTATACTTTCCGACACGTGCGCGACCTCAAAACACGTGATAAATGATCAACTGAGAGCATTATAGTACTAGTATGTGTGTGTGTGTGTGTGTGTGTGTGTGTGTGTGTGTGTGTGTGTGTGTGTGTGTGTGTGTGTGTGTCCCCTAAACACACGACTAGTGATCAACTGAGTAACATTGCATGTGTGCATGTGTGTGCGTGTGTGTGTGTGTGTGTGTGTGTGTGTGTGTGTGTGTGTGTGTGTGTGTGTGTGTGTGTGTGTGTGTGTGTGTGTGTGTGTGTCCTCTAAACACACATGAGTAGTGATCAACGGAGTACTGGCAATCACCAATAGCTACTACACACAAGGAGCACATGTACAAGTAGCTGCAAACACGGAGGAGCCATATAAAAAGTAGAGAAGCTCTGCGCTCTACTAACATGGCAATGAAACACGAGCATGACTAAACCGGACACAAACACCAACACAAGCGCAGTTTAATACAACGTACTATTCTGGTGGCTGGTCATCAGCAGCTATGAGGCAGCTACAGGGGCAGCAGCAACGGGCTGTCTGTCGTACACGTGGATCTGATACTGAATACCCTTCTCTTCTTGCAGCTCCTGATCGACATTGGGATCACTGAGATAACAGAACAGTACAAGAGTACATACAGACCAGGCAATATATCAATATCGAAAACATAACTACCGTAAAACATGTAATTTTAGGTGCATTAAAACTTCGGTACCAGGGACCTGCCAGGTTTCAGGTGTAATGTAGAATTAGGTGACCAGCGTCCCCTTCATGTACAGTGCATGCTCTAGAGCCTTTAGGTGTAATTTGAATTTGGGTGCCTGGTTTCTCTACCGAAATCACCGAAATTAAAGTTACACCCAAATTACATGTTTTACAGTATATGGCGGCAGTCAGAGGGACCATCCTGTTAGCTCTGAACCTGTACATGTGTGGTATGGCATTCTTTATTTTCCTTCATCAAGATGTAGGCAGTTTTAGCTGCGCCAGAGAGAGAGAGAGAGAGAGAGAGAGCAAGATCATTCAGTCACAACAACTAATTCTAAATTTAGATTTTCTTCTCCGGTAGACTTTTCCGGCTTGTTTCTCCTTCAGAAACAACAAGAGCTCAGCCATCAGCAAGCCAAGAAGAAAACACTTGCTGAACTCTGATTGGCTGAGGGCAATCATTTCAGGTGGGAAGTCCACAGCCAGGGTAGCCTATAAAAGTAATCATTCCAGGAGGGGATGGTGGTCGGGATTTGGGATGGCCAGAATTTTAGAATTTTCTTCTCCGGTAGAATTTTCCGCCTTGTTTCTCCTCGGCAAGCAAGCATAGGAGGAAATGAGGATTTCTCAAGTACTATGGATGCTGCTGATGAGCGCAGCAGTGATGACTTGCGCCATGGAGTAGTCTTCTGGATGCTAAGTCAAATGGTGTTGGTCCGACAGAACTTCAATGCTGTGTGTCCTTATCTTCCCTATTGAATTTGCGCACCTCCACTGATATGGAGAGTGTGTGCGCACCTCCACTGATATGGAGAGTGTGTGCGCACCACTACTAGCACTAGATAGGGATTTATTAAATTGAAACAAGGAAAACGGTGGGGCACAAGTTATGCGTTAGAGTCCACCAACTAAACCAGGTTTTGAATAGTTAGATGTGCACAAGGTAGCACCAGATTGACAACGCATAACTTGTGCCCCACCGTTTTCCTTGTTTCAATTTTAATATTTTCCTTGGCTCACTATCTGAGTACTTAGATATGGATTTGTATGGAAAATCTCACCGACAGTGTTACCGGTATTTAGTTCTTATAGAAGCACGGATGAAGACGAACCTTTCAGAACCTGAAGTATTCTGGGTGCTACATTGAATGCTGTCCGTCTGAGCAGGCTGTGGTGCGTCACTAAACCAATTGAACGTGACCTTACTTCACAAACTTAGGCATAAACTGAATACGTACATCATTCACTACTGACCCAGGTAGTGCTTGCATGCAGTCACTGCTGTCGTATCATGCACAACATGCACCAGTGGCTTAGGGGCCGGGCGTAAACATTGCACTTTTTTGAAGTTTTTTCAACAAACGAAATATTTTAGTTTAGACCCAACCCCTCCCTCCCTCCCCCTCAGAACGTGCAAAATGTCGACATACACTGCCATGTACATGCATTATGCAATAAAAGTTGCAAGTGCGTCACTGCTCCTACGGCCATGTGCACGTATCAATGTTTTCTGAAACGAAATTGATCAACCCCCTCCCACCACCCCATATTTAAGGTCACTGATTCACCACCGCCACATGCAGCTACATGTAGTACACAATCAGCTGATGCATGAATACCGTTAGTGAAATAGGATCATTTTTCAATAGGGAGTGAAGGGCTGAATGGTAGAGCCGCCCCCTCGGATTAATAGTAAGTTACCAATGGATTAGGCACCCAGAAGACTTCAGTTCATGAAAGTTTCATCTTTGTCCGTGTTGCTGCATGGCTGCACTACTTCGCAGTACCTTTTCGTTACCCCCTTTGTTACGCACGCACCCACTGTGTCACCTTGGTACGAGGGTCGATACTACGTTTTGCCTTACGCGTACAATGTCGGTACAGCCACCCTTTGGTCTAGCAGCATTTCAGGAGAAGCATCCACTGTTAGAGATTGGTGATGTGCTCCGATCTGGTGCTCAAACGTCCAAATTTTGCATCCCAGTGACAAACAGAGCAACATGTGATGAGACATTGTGTTGTGGTACAAATGTTGCTGTAGCGGAAGTGCTTGAGGAGAATGACATTGCAGAGGAGTCCGCAGCAGAGCCGTGTGCGTGCACTGTAGACTGTGATGGTGCTACTAGTGACGCAGGTGAACAAGAGTTGCGAGATTGGTTACATACACAAAGTCACCTCAGTGCTGAACAGCATCAGCAGTTACTTGAGTTGCTTTTGGAGTTCCGAGACATCTTTGTCCTGTCTGGAGACTCACTTGGGCTCTGCACTTCATGCACGCATCGCATTAAGACTGGCAGCGCAGCACCTATCAAACAGGCTGCTAGGAGACTGCCTTTCCACAAGAGAGCTGAACTGAAATCCCTGATCGTAAACCTGCTAGAAAAGGGTATCATTAGCGAGTCTGACAGTCCTTGGGCTTCCCCGTTAGTCCTAGTCAAGAAAAAGTATGGGACTTTGAGACTACGTGTGGACTACGGTAAGCTGAATGCGGTAACCGTTCGGGATGCGTACCCCCTACCAAGAATCGACGACACACTCGACGCATTGTGTGGCTGCAAATTCTTCTCCACTATGGATTTGGCAAATGGGTACTACTGGCAGCTAGAGCTCGAGGAAGCAGACCGTCCCAAGAGCGCTTTCGCAACGCCTGTTGGCCTCTACGAGTTCAATGTCTTGCCAATGGGCAAAATCTGAAAAGCAATCGTGGGAGCAACTCGACGGATTGGAGCTGACATTCGCAGATCGAATCAGCCTGAGCACAAAGAGAGACACTGGAGCTGCGTTGGAGGAAGGAAACGGGCAACTCCAGGATCTGTTGCTAGACCACCAAGGTGAGCGGGTTTCAGAGAACGAACACAGTGGCATATTTCCTACCCCTGCAAGACAGTTACACGCCATGAACCTTACCACGGACCATGTCATGGCAAGGCAGTCCACTGCCAAGGAGTTGCCTCAGTTCTCCGGCCATGCCGACGAGTGGCCAGCATTTCTCTTCGTGCTAGAAAACACCACCAGAGAGTGCGGCTTCTCAAACAGTGAGAACTTGGGGCGGGTACAGAAGGCGCTACGCGGAAAGGCCAAGGAAGCCGTGCAGGGAATGATGACTCTCCCCGACAATGTAGGAGAGGATATTTCCATCCTGAGGAAGAGGTTCGGTCGCCCAGATCAGATCGTTCAGAACCTCATCCAGAAGACCAAGTCGTAGAGAGCCATGAAATCGGAGGAGGCCATTGAGGTTCTGACAGAGATCAGCGCCCTGTGCCGCAACCTTGTTGCCACTATGCGCAGTACAAAGTGCACCGGCCACCTGTACAATCCCCAGCTGGTCAAAGAGCGAGTTGGCAAGCTGTCCGGGGGCTTCGGATTCAGTGGGGGAACACGTGCTGAAAACCGGCATAGACCCGCAGCTGCACACCTTCGCTGCCTGGTTGGAACAGAGGGCCAAGGCCCCGTGCCTGGTCGCTCAGCCGATCCCAAGCAATGCCACTCCACGCACAGGCCAGACGCTCACAGTTGTCGAGGCCACCGGGGGTAAGGCCCAAGGTCTCTAGTATAAGCTGCAGTGAGTGAAAGTCCTGAACCAAAGAAAAGTGTAACATGTCCTGAACCAAAGAAAAGTGTAACATGTCCTGAACCAAAGGAAAGTGTAAAAGTCCTGAACCAAAGAAAAGTGTAACATATAATCTGCAATTCTGAAAGACGTTAGAAGTCCTTATACTATAGGCTATACATGTATGTGTGGCTGAACCTACCTGGACACTACATACTGGGGCAGCCAGGCGTCCGTGGAGAGCAGTGACACGTCACAGTCAAAACACTTGTTCAGGCGCGTCAGGTACACTCGCTGACAGTATTCCGACATCAATGCCTCCTGCAAGTACGCATGCAGATACGTACACACACACACACACACACACACACACACACACACACACACACATACACCCCCCCCCCCCCCCCCCACCACACACACACGCACGCAAACACACCCACACACACATACAAACATATGCACGTAAATACACACTTGTATTCGTACTTGCTCCTGTAGCTTCAAACATGGAGGAACCAAGCAAAAGCTGCCAAGCTCTCAGACAAGCGACTGCCACTGCCACATTAACATGTTATTTACGAATCACAATGGCGTCGGAGGGTATCCACTCCTCCCTGTTTCTTTCCTCTTTGAATGCATCCTAGTTAGCGGTGCAGAATGTCACCCCATTGCTAATAATCAGGAAAGGTATCTCATTACAAACGGTTGGAATTCCTTCCCCTCGGCCTGATCGACACTGATTCTGTGGTAACGTGTTCCTTATATTTCCCATAGTAATTTTTACCAACCTGATGTCTGGCAAGCCACCAGAGCTCACTCTCCTCACACCCCACAGCCAGGAACACATGACATGTAGCTAACAGTTGCATACCGTAAAGTCGCAGATAAAAGCCGGGTTTGCATACAAGCACATCGCGGATAGAAGCCTGACAATCACACGGGTCAAACGCATAAGCCTGTCGCGCGTTGAAGCCTGGCTTCTATGCAAGCGCGGATCGGGTAGGTCAAGAGTGCATGCGCTATGTACAGTGCATAGTAAAACTGCCGCCATACCGGTAGTCAGTGGTAGATCTACGCGTGGCAAAATATCAGTGGTGCATATAAGCATGGTTTGCACTAAAGCCTGATGCAGAAAGCGGCTTACATGCTTATAAGCCCGGCTTTTATCCGCGACTTTATGGTAACATAAGAAAACGCGCTGCGCATTAAGTACTTTAACGGCAGTTTGCCAAACCTTTCCTCGGCACGTACATGTAGTTACGTAGTTCTTCATAGTTGCAGACATCACATGACCTGACTTACAGCATACAGTTGGCCACCGCCGATGACGAAGACATTCTCTATCTCCCGCCTGGTCGTGTCCGTTCCCAAGTGTGCCAACGCTTCCCCAAGGTTAGAGAACAAGAGAGCACCATCTGGCTGCTGCCTGTGCAGATCAGAGTATAAAAACAACCAGGCAATCGATAGTGTGCATAATGAGATATGTTTGGACGTCTAAGTCATCTCACCTGTAAGTCATCTCACCTGTAACAACATCCACGCATGCATACATGCACATAGACACAAGGAAGCAGTGGAGGTAGAACGGAACACAATATCAGGCTGTGTTTGCCCGACCACTCATCACCACTCTTTCGTACTCGTTCCTTCAAACTGTTCAAGGGCTCCCTTCACGAATGTGCAGTGGCTACGGGTCCCCCAGCTCTAATGATTTGACCATGAGACTCAAGGTTTGGCGGTCCGTCTCACAGTCTCACGATGAGTTTTCAAGAAAAAAGGAGATTTCGCAGACACAATGCCTGACACAGATGACTATACACTGTCAGTAACAGTGAATTCTCCATGGTCAGTACAGCATGGACATATGGATATACAGTGAATTCTCCATGGTCAGTACAGCATGGACATATGGATATACAGTGAATTCTCCATGGTCAGTACAGCATGGACATATGGATATACAGTGAATTCTCCATGGTCAGTACAGCATGGACATATGGATATACAGTGAATTCTCCATGGTCAGTACAGCATGGACATATGGATATACAGTGAATTCTCCATGGTCAGTACAGCATGGGCATATGGATATACAGTGAATTCTCCATGGTCAGTACAGCATGGACATATGGATATACAGTGAATTCTCCATGGTCAGTACAGCATGGACATATGGATATACAGTGAATTCTCCATGGTCAGTACAGCATGGACATATGGATATACAGTGAATTCTCCATGGTCAGTACAGCATGGACATATGGATATACAGTGAATTCTCCATGGTCAGTACAGCATGGACATATGGATATACAGTGAATTCTCCATGGTCAGTACAGCATGGACATATGGATATACAGTGAATTCTCCATGGTCAGTACAGCATGGGCATATGGATATACAGTGAATTCTCCATGGTCAGTACAGCATGGACATATGGATATACAGTGAATTCTCCATGGTCAGTACAGCATGGACATATGGATATACAGTGAATTCTCCATGGTCAGTACAGCATGGACATATGGATATACAGTGAATTCTCCATGGTCAGTACAGCATGGACATATGGATATACAGTGAATTCTCCATGGTCAGTACAGCATGGACATATGGATATACAGTGAATTCTCCATGGTCAGTACAGCATGGACATATGGATATACAGTGAATTCTCCATGGTCAGTACAGCATGGACATATGGATATACAGTGAATTCTCCATGGTCAGTACAGCATGGACATATGGATATACAGTGAATTCTCCATGGTCAGTACAGCATGGACATATGGATATACAGTGAATTCTCCATGGTCAGTACAGCATGGGCATATGGATATACAGTGAATTCTCCATGGTCAGTACAGCATGGGCATATGGATATACAGTGAATTCTCCATGGTCAGTACAGCATGGACATATGGATATACAGTGAATTCTCCATGGTCAGTACAGCATGGGCATATGGATATACAGTGAATTCTCCATGGTCAGTACAGCATGGACATATGGATATACAGTGAATTCTCCATGGTCAGTACAGCATGGGCATATGGATATACAGTGAATTCTCCATGGTCAGTACAGCATGGACATATGGATATACAGTGAATTCTCCATGGTCAGTACAGCATGGACATATGGATATACAGTGAATTCTCCATGGTCAGTACAGCATGGGCATATGGATATACAGTGAATTCTCCATGGTCAGTACAGCATGGACATATGGATATACAGTGAATTCTCCATGGTCAGTACAGCATGGACATATGGATATACAGTGAATTCTCCATGGTCAGTACAGCATGGACATATGGATATACAGTGAATTCTCCATGGTCAGTACAGCATGGACATATGGATATACAGTGAATTCTCCATGGTCAGTACAGCATGGACATATGGATATACAGTGAATTCTCCATGGTCAGTACAGCATGGGCATATGGATATACAGTGAATTCTCCATGGTCAGTACAGCATGGACATATGGATATACAGTGAATTCTCCATGGTCAGTACAGCATGGACATATGGATATACAGTGAATTCTCCATGGTCAGTACAGCATGGACATATGGATATACAGTGAATTCTCCATGGTCAGTACAGCATGGGCATATGGATATACAGTGAATTCTCCATGGTCAGTACAGCATGGACATATGGATATACAGTGAATTCTCCATGGTCAGTACAGCATGGGCATATGGATATACAGTGAATTCTCCATGGTCAGTACAGCATGGGCATATGGATATACAGTGAATTCTCCATGGTCAGTACAGCATGGGCATATGGATATACAGTGAATTCTCCATGGTCAGTACAGCATGGGCATATGGATATACAGTGAATTCTCCATGGTCAGTACAGCATGGGCATATGGATATACAGTGAATTCTCCATGGTCAGTACAGCATGGACATATGGATATACAGTGAATCCTCCATGGTCAGTACAGCATGGGCATATGGATATACAGTGAAACCTGTCTAAGATGACCGCTCAAGGGACCTTTAAAACACGATCTCTGTTACCAGGTGGTCTCCTTATCCAGGGTCATTTGACTGGAAAAAGCATCCTTGGGTTCTGGTCGCAGTGGTCTTCTGGGACAGGTGGTCGCCTTGCCAGGTTTTACTGTAATAATTATTACCAAGAGTACTCAAGCTCCCAAAAGTGTGTAACTCTGCATAGGGGGGTATCCGACGACGAAAAAACTCACATCACGTGCTTCAGGTACCTTTGGTACTACTACTGTATAACACCTTTATTTCGGTGTAATTTAAATTTCGGTAACTTCGGTACTGGTCCTGGATCACCTAATTTAACATTACACCTAAATTTTCTGAAATACCAAAAATATGTAAACATCATGAAAATCACTGTCAAATTAAAAAAATCAACTTGTATACTGGTATAGTACATGTACATATGTGGAGCCTAGCCGGAGATATTAGAGCAATAGCCGTTTTTTTTTTTTGGTGCCATGCATACCGAATTTATCCTTACACCGAAAGGTCAGGGGTTGGCTTTTAACGAAATTTTACAACACCGAAAATAAGGTGATATACAGTATGTACGACGAAGGATAGCGTAAAAGAGAGCTTCCGTCATAGAGTGCTTTTTTTCTTCTCTTTTGTGCCAACCCCCCCCCCCCCCCCCCCCTCACACTGATAGCGCATCACCCTACTCATGTTTCAATTTTCGTGGGTTTTTCAGTCCACAACCAAAATATGGCCACAAATCTTTCGATTGTTCCGGGTTCTCGCTGCACGCGTACGTTGCATTCTGTGTGACAACTTGACAAGGTGTGGAACACGGAAAAAATGGCTGAACATCCCCGGCTGCATCAAGGACCCACAGCCGGTCGGGATCATCAAGCATTACCTGTCGAAGCTCCACCGAGACGTTGACAAGCTATTTCAGCATGTAGCGCGCTCACCCGGTATGATGCCCTCTCGTGGTTTGCCTTGCTGGCTTTTCAATAGTCCGCTCTCCCATAATAAGTTAGATTCAGTGATGAAGATGATTTCCGAAGCTGCTGGCCTTTCTTTTACCGACACCGACCAACCACTGTCTGCTACGAGCATTACTGACATGAAAGCTGATGAAACACTGGCATTGAAGACGGCAAGATAATCAGGTACAATGTACTGTCATGCTGTACATACACCTTCACCGACTCCGTGATAAAACTGCAAGTGGTCTACCGAAGAAAAGACTCCCATCCAGAGGCACACAGCAGAAACACACTCGCAGCCACACTGATCAGTGATCACTGATCAGTAGGGGTGAAACGAAGGTCTCAAATTCCCATTCGAACCTTCTTTATTAAAACGAACGAAGGTGTCGAAGGATTCTTTTTTAGCATGATCACGGAAACGCTCAAAAATCTTTTAAAAAGGGGGCAGAAAATCAGAACCCAATACAGTCGTCCCTCTCTAATCCGGCACTTTATAATCCAGCACCCTCGATAAACCAGCACAATTTTCAGTAACCAAAATGTCCTCTTCATGTACATTGCAGCAGTAAATCAGATTTGTTAATCCAGCACCCTCCCTAATCCAGCAGATTTTCGTGGCACAAATGGTGCCGGATTATAGAGGGACCACTGTACTTATATTGTATGTGCAATTTGTTTCTGAATCTGGTGGTATCAATGTATCCATTCCAGGTAAGAAAATACTTTGGTCGAGCACACAACTTTAGATAGAGGCAAGGTTTTAACATACTTTTGATAGAGGCCATACCTACTTGTAATACCAAGAGTGCATAAACAACGTTTATGGACTCTTGCTAATACCTGTTTGTGAGTCAATTGTCCATATTTCTGACAATTTAGATCAGTGTACTTGGGATCGTGTACAGACTTGCTAGCCTTGGCTTTTGTGACACAAAGCGACAGGAGTACTGCTCCAGTGTACAGCCAGTTGCATGCTTGAACAATACCAAAATGGACGGAAAAGAGCCATATTGCGTAGTAAATATCAGATGCTTGCCAACTTCATCAAAAAATTGTCAAATCTGGACATGTACTTTTCGCTTATCTGCTCGCATCTACTGGGTGCATTGGTGATTGCGAGGAGAGTGAATAGTCGCTGGGTGAGGAACTTCACCTGCGTCGATGATTCCAGGCCATCGCTGCGCTCCCTCTCGCTGCTGCTGGGAGAGTGAATACTGCAATGGCTTCAGCGATGGACACTTTTATTTTCGATACAAAAAATTAGCCTACACTCGTATCGCTGCTACAACTTTCTCCAGACACCATCACTAGTAGATATCGACGGCAGCTACAGCAAGCTATATTCCTGGTACAAGCAGCATAACTGAGCGAAAACACGATCGAAATAGCAAAACTACTCTCCTACTAGTATCGCAGAGCGCCAAACACTCGACGAATACAATCAAAAAAAGTCATCCATGAGTACACCATGGTAGATCTACACATCATAAACGGGAACACGCTGGTGACTGGAACAGGGCCAGTTCTTCACTGACTTGTCACTTCTTCAGTTCCGGTGCGCACGCGGACCGTGCCCCTACTTGTAGTACAGCATGTCCTAGTACAGTGCATGCATGCAGCACATCGCACAAGATCAATGCATTGATGCATGCACTAAACCCGTGTCGACCTTCGTTCGAATCAAAAACGAAGGTTCGTTTCAAAGGAAAACGAAGGTCCTTCGAACCTTCGACTACTTCGTTTCACCCCTACTGATCACTGATCAAAGGAGTCCAGGAGGAGGCCCGCACTGAGGTGGCTAAACTGAAAGCGTGACAGTCACTACGAAGTCAACAACCCCAAGCTTCCAAAAAGCTCAAGTCACCGGGACTCCAGGCCCAGTTTTCACCGAATGAAACCGTGTTACAAAAGGTGGATGCCGCCTTATCGGTACCCGAGGCTAAAGAGCTCCTAGCTCAGAGTTAGGTTATGTGAGATCTGCAAAAGGCAGAAACAGCTGAAAATCGCAGACTCATTTGATTGGGAAACGATCAGAGTGTACGAGGAGGGCAGCATGGGGGATAGGCTCGCAGATGATAAGCAGATCGCCGAGGCCGCATCCACAGCTCGCCGTCTGCGACAACTTTTAAAGAGCGCGTTCAGCCCGGAACATCATATTCCAGGAATTTGCGTCCAAGCAATTCCGGAGCCAGCAACTTGCAATTTGAGCGAAGACCATCAAGCCACGGACCATTTTGCCAATGGGGACCGAACTCCTGGCAGCGGCCCGCACTGCTGGAATTGCCAGCAGTTGGGCCACATCAGCAGACAGCGCCCACAGTTCAGCCAAGGCAGTGGCTGTCCACCTCAACCTCACTAGATTCGGCAATTCCAGCCTATAGCCGGTGCTCATCCACGCATGGAAGGAGCATGAGTTCCTGGAGTCCGATGACGAGATAAGTGCTTGTGAAAATAGCGTTCATGGGCGAATATTACACAGCATTACATTTTGAGAAAGTATTGGTGCCTCAGATTTTGTTCTATGTGTTATTTGTTACGGCTTTATTTTGGTGTTTGCCCCTCCCCACCCAGCTCACAGTGACCAATAGGCTGTCGAAGTCTGACGTCACTGCTTCTTGACAATGCGTAGTTATTGGGCCAAGTGGTGACAAGAAAAAGTCGTGTCACCTGCGCTTGTCTTGTTTTCAGCGGCAGCAGCATGCAGTGAACACAGCTACAGCATCATTGTTGCTGCTGCTGTTGTTGTTTATCTACACTAGCATTATGACAGTGTAGCTATTGACTAAGAAACGAATAAACTTTTCGAAAGGTTCAAGTACTTTGAAGTACAATGTATACAGAACGTGACAGAAGCCATGTTGGCTGCAATGATACACAACTTACTTCAATGAACGGCTAAGCACAATATTGAGGCGATTAGGCAATGGCCGGTACTTTGTCGGAATGGCGTCCCACGACTTGCGACCCATAATGACGGCATTCTGGCAGCCTGCTCATCAGACACCAGGGCAGAGAAGCAAACAAACAAGCGTCTTGAAAATACGTAGAGGCTACAGGATGAGAATCAACCAGCACACAGTGGATAATATCACGGAAGAGAGTTTCCCTGTCTTAGTTGGTCTAATACAGGTGGAATTTCTTCCGGAACCATTAAAATTTAATGAAATCGGGTTCCGGAAGAAATACAATTCCCACATAACAATGTCTGATCATAGGTTCATTTTTAAAAGACAACATGCTTGGGTGAGAGAATAGAGGGGGGGGGGGGGGGGGGTAGCAGGTAGGCAACCAGGTGAGGAAATAATTATTAGGCCAAGTAAAAAAAAAGCTAGATGATCGTCCCCGTCCGCCCCAGTTTTTGTCAGCGCCCCAAGAAATATTTTATTTTTTAAATCGTGAGTTTTACTATATGGACCACATACTACTAGTATATCACAACGTCAGTATCGATCTGCTGAAGAAAGAAAAAGAAAAAAAGAAAAAAAAAGAAAAAAAGAAAAAAAACCTTGATGTTGTTGTGTACACTGTGTGCATGAGAGGGTAAAAAGTAAAAAAATAAAAATAAAATCCTCCCGCCCTCCCCGATTTTTCCAAAAAAAAAGGACGATCATCTAGTAATTTTTTTTACTCGGCCTTATATTGACACACAATACAAGGACAAACAACCGACGGTACTTTTTTTTACTGAAATGTGGAAGACAAATGACAACAGCGCACCACCTAGATGATACAAAATCAGTGCACGTTGGAAAGTCAACATTGCACGGGTAACGCAATAAGTTCAGCTTGTCTACTTCTGCGAACACACGATGCTGAAACCCAGCAAAAACTCCAACAAGCAATACAGTCGTCCCTCTCTAATCCGGCACTTGTTTATCCAGCACCCTTGCAAACCAGCACACTTTCTGGCAAAACGGATTTTTTCAGTTCATTTTCTACGCTTTAATCCGGCACTTGAATTCTGCCTCCAGCAGCGATTTTCTGCAACAAATCACTCAAACTGTACACAATTCGATTTTCTAATCCAGCAGTTGTACATCGCCTACCATCAGGGAGAATTGTAACATACACAACACATGTAACATACACTTGGGAATATCCTATGCACTCGTATTCCCAAGTGTATGTTATAGATATGCATTCCACGAAGTACTTGGATTGACACAGAAAATCCCTACGTTTTGACGTACGACACAAACATGTACGTTAATAGGTGGGCCGGGTTGGAGGGCAGGATTTTATAATCCAGCACCCTTGTTTATCCAGCAGAAAATGCCGTTGCAAAAGGTGCCGGATTAGAGAGGGACGACTGTACCGGGATCACCCTGCGCACCATACACATGCCCACGGCCAAGGTCATACTCAGAACAAGGGGTACAATCATGTAGTCTCATAGCTGTTAGCACTTCTGTTGAACAAATACAGCTAGCTTGCATATGTCTACAGGGATGAATTTACTGTCATATTTTTGCATAGCAGTTTCTGCTATACGAAATCACAATTGTGTAGCAGTCATTGATTTTGATTATCATTTTTTCTTTGAAGGTAGGGTATTTACCACATTGTCCTTCTTGAGAGTGATGCCTGAAAGCCCATTTGCATAGAAAACGACTGAAGCATACATACCGGTATGCACGCAGATTGAGATTGCCTGCACCACATACATTGCACTGTATGCATGTTACTTGACAGCACAGGCTAGGCATGGATAGTCTGTATGCATCGCAATTTTCTGCGAGTCACGGTGACTTTTGAGTAGCAGTAGATCGATTTTGCATCGCAAACTGCGATGCGATACAGGATAAATTCATCCCTGGTCTAGATTGCCCCCCCCCCCCCCTCTCGACCAATTGTTTGTCAGCTGTCGATAACGAGTCTCCCTAGCATCAAGCACGTGATGATTTTCCTCTCGTGTAAGTTGTTGCCTACAACTTACAGTACAAGCCCGTGAATAACAGACTGTAGTGGAGGTACACAAGCAGTTGCTGCCCTTGCTGTACATAAGCAGGAGTCTGCAACTCAGGGAGAATGAGCCCACGGCGAAGTTTTGTTTGTTTGTGTGATAGTGACTGTCAACTTTGCTACACTTCGCATTTTTGCACCGGTTCGCATAGCCATTTTACCGTATCGCCAAGGCAACGTCTGTTGCACACAGCTGCCTGTCATACAGAAGATGCAAAACACACGCAAAATTCCCATTATCACCTTAGCGATGCGGTGATTTGGCAGTGAACCTATACGGTGTGGTGGGTCATCTTATGATTCATGATTACCTAGACAAAATTTGCTGTGTGAGTGGTTTTATGCAGCATTGATGCGGAGTTGAACACTCCAGGTTATGAATCTGATATAGGAACCGATGATGAAAAAATACAACAGGCAGATGAGCTCGCAGCTAATAGTAGGGATATCAGCGAACACACTGCGCAGGCATGTTGTGCATGAATGATGTCATGCAAAAATCAGTGGCTCGCGTGGTCGACAGAATCGGGTCCAAAACAAAATGGCGACTGGTACCCTCGCGGTGCACGTGCTGTTAAAAATTGGAAAATAGAAAAAAAACTCGCACTTGAGTTTGGCGTACATTCAGTACAACTAACGTTACTAGACTTGCTTGAAGTGTGAGAGAGAGAGAGACAGAGAGAAGGTCAAGCATTTTTGTCTTCTTACCTGATACTGGCGTGGATCTCAAGGAGTTACACTACTACGTCGCTGCTTCAGCTGTCTCGCTGGCGCCTGCAATTAGCTTCGTCAGATTCCGTGACAGCTCTTTCCAGGTATCCTGCTGCTGACCATTGCAGTAGTGTTTTGTCCTCCGCCGTTTGCTGAAGGACCACCTTGCGGAAGCGGATCTGGGTCTTGAGCACTTGGATTTTCCTTGAGCAGAGCAGAATAGCAGCAAGTTTATCAGTTACTTCCGCGGCAGACGACCAGAGTCCGACCTCGCTGATGTCCTTCGTGAGTGCTTCCTTCGTCAGCAAGTCTCGTTTCTCTTTCTCCTCTTTCTGTCTCTGCTTTTCCTGGATGGTCTGGCGATGGTGTGCCTCTACTGCTGCGCAACGCTTGCGGTACAGACCTCTATGCTCAGCGGCACCCTTGAGCGCAGCATTGAACAGCTCATGTCGTCGCTCTGGGGTTTGCTGAGCAAGCCAATTGCTGGTGTTGTTACCACTGAACAAAACTATGCCTTCAATGGCCACAAAAGTGGCATTTGGCTTCTCGTGCTTCATGCGATCCAATGCGCAAATAGTCTCTCGCTGGTAACATGTGTTGTAGCCAGTGATTGGTCTGGTCAAGAGCAGCTGGTGACATGGTGTGGAAATCACCACCCGGCAAGCGGTCTTTCAGCAGACGCTTTGAATATTTCGCAAAGGCTGCTGACAGGAGCTGCAACACTACCAGTGTGCTGGTGTCATGCTCTGACGGGACCAGCAACTCATTGTGGACGTCGTCGACTGTTACTGCCGCGCTGGCAAACGGTCGAGCCGAGCCCTCCAGAAGCCCCGTGGTATCATCCTTCCAGCTCTCGAACGACTGGTACACCTGACTGTTGATACCACTCATGGCAGAGATGCTGTTTATTGTCAGGGTTCGCCATAGTGGGCCAGTCACGAGCTCGTCCAATATTCCAAGAGCTCGGCAACCAGCTATATGGGCGTGGTTGCGGAGGTCATGACGGACGGCAACATGCAGGCGGTTTGGCGTTCCAAACACCTTGCCAGAAAACTCCACTATCTGGTGCCGGAGGAAGTATATGCCTGCTGCGTTGTGGAACACAGTATTGAAACAGTTCCCAACGAAATGGTCTAGGGGCACTATCGTTATTCCTTGGTTAGCGAGAAAGGCTTTAAACTGGGCGTGGTTCCCGGATTGCTCGTTACCGTGGGCTTCGAGAGCCTTACACACAGTCCGCACAAGCCGTACCGTTCCGGATTCACTGCCCTTGCCGCTGCAGCTGCCACTGGTTTTTTCCCACGTCACTAGGCACTGCTGGGCCTGTTCTGCCAAGCCAAAAATGTAATGAAGCCCACAAAAAGGTTGTTCATTTTTGTGGCCTCTGTCCTAGCATCCTCAGGCATCGCCTCCCAATCCTGTACAAACTGGGGCATGATGTCCGGGCTGTTCACGTTCTTCTCCACGATACATCTATCTGTCATCGTGTTCTTAATGTTGGCCAGCAGCTGGTTGCAGACGGGTTTGGTCGTTTCAGCGTTTCGGCAAGTCGTTTCAATGTCCTGAAACATGCTCAGCAACACGTCCATGCTATGCTCAGCCGAGCCAGACTTCATCACGGACAAGCCAACATTTAGAACGTCGCTACCACCTGCGACCTGTGCTCCGTAATATTTCTTGCCCTGCTTGCTTGTGCCGTCTCTGTGCAGAGTGAGGTTCTCCTGTGCTGAGAGCTGTTTTCCGATGTGAGTTAGCGCAAGCTGTTTCGAATCTGCCAGGAAGTCAGGCAATTTTTCAGGACTGGGGAGCCGGTCAATACTATATTATGGAGTCAGGGTGTCGATCACGATCTTGATGACCTCGGATACATGCTTGATGTCGATATTGTGGGATAGCAACTGGACACATAATAACCGGACGGCGTCGATGTACTGAAGTGGCGTCCCTTCCATGGTACGTATGTGTTTTCTCTTGTATGTGCGGCTCGTATCTGCTGATTGCTTGGCTTGTACTAAGTTGTAGTTTGTCTTCTACCTTATTCAGTGCCAGCTTGAGGTTTTTGTTGGTGGCCATGGCTTTCCTGTACTTCTGTTGGTACAGAATTTTTGCACGACACTCAGCCTGCTTCAAGACCATTGTGACAGATAGGCGCCTCCCCAGGGCTGCCTGCTTATCCCCGAGTGAGGCAATAGTGGCTTCTACGGTTTTGATGTGTGCACTTTTCCTGAGCAGCTGCTTAGTCATGTAACGCTTTCTCTGGTACGCTTGCTTTAATTGTTCTCTCTGCTTCTTGCTCTTTTTGTGTTGCACAACGGTGGTTGTCTTCATCTCCTTGAATCCAGGAGCGCTTACCGATGGTGCTCCTTGTGAGATATTCGTGTCGTACCCTTGTGTGTCTGATGCCTTCATCAGTTGTCCCTCGTACCAAGCCTGCAGGAATAGCACAGAGAGCAAACAGAGTATGTCTTCATGCAGTCTACGACTGTTCTTACATCAATTGCACGTACATTTATTTTGTTTCTAAAGCTGGTCAAATTTACTCCTCATGAATTTTCTCTGTGCCATACTGACCACGCATTAACCCTTTGCATGCTGGCCTGTTTCCCCCAGTAATCTGGCTCTCCAGCGCACAGACTCTCCTGGTGGAGTTTGGGCGCACTACACCGAACGGAATTTATTCTCATTCCAGTTCCCTTGGATGGAATTTCATCATCCTGGGCTTGTTGGAAAGATCAGGACCAAGCGAATCCATCCTGGAAGTTCTCAGCTTCATAGCCCCACCAGGGCCACTTCCACGACCTCTCCGAACTGGCCCACCATGCCTCGGAACGAAACAACAACTCAGTCACACATTCTTTCTCAGCTCCTTGCTCAAATTCAACCGATTTTCACAATTCAAACTGCTCCGCAAAGCTGAGATCCACGCGCTTCATTAGATGTCCATAACACATGCGCTGGGCAAAAGGGAAATCCCCTGCTATGCTCCAAAAAACTGCAAAGTCACGAACAAAAAAATCGCGATCGCTCCATGCCGTGATTTCCGTGTTCATTTCATCGCCGCTCGGTCAATCTTTATCCTATCGCGAAGAACTTTATTTATATCTCTGGAAAGCTGAGCTCAATACCTTTCCAACGGTGTGTCGTTTGTCGAGATCGGATGCTTTTTCACAGAGTATCGAAAGTTTGTACACTGGTCTATGCACCACGATACACATCGCAAACCAAAGCGCGTGTATACACGTCATCAGAGAAGCGGCATGGGGTTCAGGCGCATGTATACACGTCATCCGCACGCAAGGGGTTAATCGAGCATTTCATTTCAGTACGGAGTATGACGTGTCTTACCTTGTCAAATTCGAACCCTGTCAGCAGTTTATCCTTGAGATCCTGTCGTGTCGGGGCGTGCCGCAGTCATGGCACATATGCCTTCCTCTGCCAGTACCTGCAGGTGTTCAGGATTGCAATAGAATGCATATTGACTGACTTTCAGCTGCTACAGGTTGCGTTCCATGCGGAACCCCTCATTTTTTACAACACCATTCCACCATCCTTGTACTTCAAGTACATCTACATAATGTTGGAGGCTATTGTTACTTACCTGGAATTTTCTTGAACACTGCCAGGAGTTGTTGTGGGTAGATCTGTACACCGCTGGTGTCCTTGCTTTCCCAGGCTGCATGCCACTTGTTGGAGCAGGAGGGTAGAAAATTGCCTCCTGTCGATCTGCGCACTTTTTACTAGACTGCTCAGCTCTCCCCATTGTGCATGTCGTCAGGTACTTCGAACTCCACAGTGAGGAAAAGCTATTGGGAACGAAGCGTAGGTACTATCCAGATAATCCTTGGTCGAGACACGGTAGATACTGATCAAATCGTAGTCCGAAGACGATCGACGCTTCTCTGGCGCCGTCATCTTTTACTCATGCAGGCTTGTTCTGGACCCTCGTACTGTACATGTTTGGAACCGAGATTTCGCGGGTGCAGGGAGCTGGATGTACCCGGTCAAAGTTCCTGAGATTTCCCAGGCACATTCATTCATCCATCACATGATTCTCTACAAAAAATGACGGTTTTAACGTGGTGACATCATGCGTATCATGACCTTGAGTGCATTTCCTCGCCCAACTGAAAATGGAGACGCACAAAAAGTCGGCGATGAAAAAACCCTCTTGCGCAAGTAAATATGCTCAGCGCCGAGGTTTGTTGTGTTCGTATCACCTCCTTGAGAGTTCGTTTGCCGCCGGACAGTTCAATATTGGGAACCATATCCTAAGAGAGTGTTCTTCTGACCATTTTGTTCTGCTCCTTGACGGCCATTTTTCACTTCAAGAAGACGACTGCCATTTTTTCAAAAATTTGAAAATTCATGAATCAAGCGCTGGCCGGCCAGTCGACCACTTGAGATGCGCACGTGACGCGATGCGCGAAGTGCCTGCGCAGTGTGTTCGCTGATATCCCTACTAATAGAATAAAGATAGGCCAATGGTAGTTGCAAATGAATGCATCGCCAGCAAACAAGACGGAGAATACAATCAGCATCATGCATGTATTGGCCGTACCTTCTCGGGTAGTGTGCGATGTTGTACGGGTAAAGTGCTTCATTTCCTTCCTGCACACACACACACACACACACACACACACACACACACACACACACACACACACACACACACACACACACACACACACCTTGACCTTTGACGCCCATCGCCGGAGGCGATGATAGCAATGCTACGGCAGAAGCCATAGCAACTTGTGCTGGGATTACACCATTCAACAGCTTGCAAGGCTGAAGAATTGACCGTCACTATTCAGCCTGGTCTACACCATACAGCTATTTGGAGTGACATTTTCTGGCCAGTGAATCCCTATTTTTGGTCTTTTCATTTTTTTTTTTTTCCCCGCACACACATCACACCACATACTCCGGCATGCACTGGCTGTTGGTAACCACCCAGGAGAATGAAAGAAAAGTCAGGAAGAGTCTGAGAAAGAGAAGAAAGACGTGTGTGACCATAATCGTCGGGAATCGAACCCGCAATCTATCGATTGGAAATCGCTGCACATACCACTGCACCATATGGGACACACACACACACACACACACACACACACACACACACACACACACATGCACGGTTGATGGGTTATTTTTTTAATCTTTAGTGCTGCATATTATTATGTATTCGGATTTATGTCTGTATCCTGCAGAAAACCTTCTTTCCCATGTGCTTTGTGTTTTTTGAGCATTTGTTGTCCTTAATTTCTCAAAAAATATGCTCCCCATGCATATAACTGAGCTGCAACCTGTTGGCTTGCTTTGCAGAATTGCTGCAGAATACCGAGTGATTCACAGCATTGCTGCAAAGCTCCGGGCAGAATTTCACATAATTTGCCAGAAGCAAATGGTTGCTTATTGGAGATGTCCCTAAACATACATGTATTGCTAAAAAGAGCACCGGGAGAGGGTGGGGGAGGAAGGGAGGTAAGGATAAAAAGGGAAACAGGGATGAATTTACTGTCATATTTTTGCATAGCAGTTTCTGCTATACGAAATCACAATTGTGTAGCAGTCATTGATTTTGATTATCATTTTTTCTTTGAAGGTAGGGTATTTACCACATTGTCCTTCTTGAGAGTGATGCCTGAAAGCCCATTTGCATAGAAAACGACTGAAGCATACATACCGGTATGCACGCAGATTGAGATTGCCTGCACCACATACATTGCACTGTATGCATGTTACTTGACAGCACAGGCTAGGCATGGATAGTCTGTATGCATCGCAATTTTCTGCGAGTCACGGTGACTTTTGAGTAGCAGTAGATCGATTTTGCATCGCAAACTGCGATGCGATACAGGATAAATTCATCCCTGGGAAATGAAAAGCTAAAAAAACAAGAAGTATCCATGGGGAACAGAGCATGTGCATGCTGAGGAGAAAAAAATAAATAATGCAGGTGGAATCCTGATAAATAAAACACCAAATTGCCAGGAAAACGCCTAATTGTCCGGACATTCTAACTAGGAAAACACGTAGCCACAACACAAGATGTACTGGTATGTCAAAGTGCTCACAGTGTCACACAGAGTTGCGATATGCACTATAGACAGACGCCGTGCAATCTGAACTGGCCAGTACAGTCTGCTTCCACACACTGAACTGACTTATGGATGCCAAGAATGCCCGTCGTCAAGGACACTTTACTTGGCGATAGGCATGATGGCTCAATACGGGCGTGAAAGTGATGACGTTAGAATTCCAACGACAAAATTAATAACGATTTTTTTGGATCCACTCTGCCCACAGCAAAGTACATGTACAGGGTGTTGTGAGTAGGCCCCTAGCCACTAGCCACTAGCCACTAGCCCCTAGCCGAGCCCCTAGCCGAGCCCCTAGCCACTAGCCCCTAGCCTAGCCCCTAGCCACTAGCCCCTAGCCTAGCCCCTAGCCCCTAGCCTAGGCCCCTAGCCTAGGCCCTCGTGTCATACACAGGTGTGGGGTTTTTCTGTACCAGGAGTGGGTCCCTGACCAGAAGGGCCCAGTCCAGCCACTACTGACAGATGTTCCACTGGGCTGTGAAGGAAACCAACCAAACGTGTACGGGCCCATACAAACACTGGATCTGAGGGATCTAAGGCCGATTCACAATACAACTTCTTGCGACGCGACATGCGACACCTGCGACAGCGACACACGGTTCACAATCTTTTTCATGTTTGCGACATCCTTATGCACTAGTAGTACTATGCATGTGCACTGAACGTGCAGTGCAAGTGCACTCAGGGTAGAAACAGTACTCCATTTGTGTATGTCGTGCGGTGCATGTCGCAAAAGTTGAACTTTCTTCAACTTCTGCGACAGGTGCCTTGCGACTGCATGCGACAGGCAATTTCATGTCACAACTGTTGCAAATCGTGTGTCGCGTCGAAGAAAGTTGTATTGTGAATCAGCTTTTAAAGTCAGCGTTGTCATGGTTGCAGGCTGGCTGTGACGTAGCACTTTCAAGCTCTATCATGCTCGTTCTAGGATGTCTCTTGTTGAACGAATCCTTGGTTACAGTCATGTGTCGTGTAAAGTCGAATACTATTTTTTTACGATTTCTGTCCCCACATCATTTTTTTAATTCAAGATACATGTATTTCGTAGCTGTACGCTTGCACAGAAACTGTTTCTGCCAGGCTCCTGCGAAGCATGCATGCATCGCGTCCTTGTACATGTAAAAAGTAATACTGTACATGTATCTGATTGAAATGATGGACATACTTCATGTAGTATGATCATATCAGTTGTAGCACAACACACAAGAGCGGTGGAATTGCATCAGTTACTCACGGAAGTCTCCAGGGTAGATTGTTATCCTTGCCAATACCCATTTGAGAGTCAACTGCCACAATAATACTGAAGGACCGAAGAGCCATGCCTGCTGAAATATCAGCAAAAATCAGAACCAACGCAACCAGTGTATCGAGAGCTGCGTACACACGATGGATGGGTTTCGTTCAAACTGTGCCAAAGAAACTAGAAAGTTCATGTAATGGGGCTGGAGTGAAGGAGCAACAGTCTTCCAAGCCACAACGCCGTCAACGGCCTCCCTAGCTGAATCAGTGAATGGCAGTGAAAGGACTCTTACTCCTGAGTCTGACTTGATTTCGAGGACCTACGTAGCTACATGTACCTTGTACCTGCACCTGGCCTGCAGCCATTTCGATTCATTTTCAACCGACCCTTTCGATGAAAAAATCAATATTTCCCGCGTTTTTCACTTTTTGAATGAATATTTAATATTCATTCAAAAAGTGAAAAACGCGGGAAATATTGATACTCGTCACGTCACAAAAACAAGGACGAGTCACGAGACTTCCAAATTCCAATGCCAAATAATTGCCAATGGGGCGGTACGTCGTCGTCGAGTCAAATACAGACTGTACGAGTCGTACTACACTGTACAAATTTTGTAGTACACAGTAATCATGATAATTGGCAAAGTAAATAAACCTCCTTCAACTGCATTTGGCTTCAAGTCTGTACTTTGTAGTCTGAGTGCCAGGTAAGACAAGATACGAGTCGTTGGGAGGGATTGTAAATGCCGGACTGGTCGACTAGACAGTACGAAACTCTGAATGTGACGTGAAACCTGCGGCCCCCTTGCCAGTCCAAGTCGGTGCTCGTTTTCAAATTTTCTGATAGGACGTGGTCGTGGGCACCATTGTCATGGCTGAGTGACTACACTGGCAGTAGAACTGGTAGTTCCATTGTACTCTGATCTGTAGCAATCCGACATGTCTTCAGTCTCTGGAACAGCACTTGTACTTGTACTTGTAGCGGGTTGACAGAGATTTAGAGATTTGACCTACCTGCTTCTCAGAACACGTTCTTTACCAGAATGTTGCTGAGCTGTTACGATTATTTACTAAAGTGAGTGCATCGTTCCAGTGTGAGAATCTAGCCAATGAAGATATTGTGGACAAACGTTCGAAACTGGATGTTGCGAAATAGCACTAGTCAGTTGACTTTTGCTAGGAAGAGCTAGTTTCCACCATCAGTGGACAGTGCTGATTTGAAATTCGTCCCGTGCGTGGTCCAGTTGATGCTGCTATGCGTTCTTTATGTTAGGCAGCTTTTCTGTCCCCAGCCACTAAGCCTTGGGTGTGCATGCCTGCGTCCACCGGCTACTCCACAGCAGTGGTGATTGCCTCACTGCCAGCAGATCACTGGAGCATTAGTTTTGGGCAGAGAGAATCCGAACGGCAGGGAATACAGCTGAGATGACGTCATCTCACTGCTGCAAGTGGCTCGACTGCGGCGAACAGTTCAGTAAGTCATCTCTGCTTGCCAGTCATGTACGCAGCAAACACGTGGACCCGCAACTCAGTGAACTGGCCGGTTGCCTGTGGGAGGGGTGCCGTGTTTATAATCAGCCAAGCACCAACCAATCATGGCTGGCTAGGCATGTTGCCACTCACACCAAGGAGAGGCCATTCAAGTGTCTAATTGAAGCATGTGCTGCGTCGTTTGCTTCGCGAGATGGCTTGGTTAGACACATGCCGTTGCATTTTGGGGATACTCCAGGAGGTACAGCGTCACCCAACACTGCAACTAACACTAGCAGTGGCAGCAAATCCAGCAGTAGCTACAAGCCCAAACCTAAGTACCGCCCTGGCGTGCAATATCTACAGCAGTCGGTCCATGCTCGCCAATGGAGATGGGGTATGTACATGTGTCCGCGCGCGCGCGCGCGTGTGTGTGTATGTCTGTTTGTGTACCTAATGTGTATTGTGCTCACTCGTGTGTTATCGACGGTGTCCAGTGGCATCCAGGCCGATGTACATGTACACTTCCAGTGCTTAACCTCCACATCCCGAAGTCTCTCCCTCCTCTCTCTCTCTCTCTCTCTCTCTCTCTCTCTCTCTCTCTCTCTCCTGCACCCATAGATCAGGTCGTCAAGATAGGATGGCAGCACTGAAAGCACCCATTGGTCTGGATTTCACTCACCACAACTGTGCATGTGATTGTATTTGTGTGTTCACTTGCAGCACTGTGTCATTTTGATAATCCTAACAGCTGCGACTTGAGAACAGTATTGCCCCTTGTCCCCGAAATCAGTTTGTCATTGTGTACGTATGATAAGCTGAGGATGAGCGAGGTATATCTACTTGCTGTGTATATGTGGGTGTGTATGTGTGTGTGTATGTGTGTGTGTGTGTGTATTTGTGCGTGTGTGTGTATGTGTGCGGGTATGTGTATATGTAACATATACAGGTTATGTAGAACAGCTGGTAAAGTGTCCGACATTTGAACGTTCTGCGTCAAGCACTCCCAGAGGTAAGTCATGTGTCTCTTGGTGTTGTGTTTGTTAGCTGCACACTCCGCCATACTGCAGTGGCGGAAAATTGATTCCGATACCTTGTTTCGAGATGTTCAGTGCTAGCTCGGGTTTTCTTGCTCTGCGCATGCTTTTCCAACGTGCACAATGCACCTCAGCATACAGTACCTCTGTCACGGCGTTACATGAACATGCCGTTGCTGAAAGACGTGAGTGAAAACAACGGCGTGCGCGTTTATGGCATCTTCTAGGATCTACGCAGCAAGGCAATACAATGACATTGCTTGTAGTCATGGTGATGTACATGTATAGTGTGAACCATTTTATCAAGGGATCTCCTCTCCTGAAACGACAGTAAATTCATAACCAAAAAATTGAAATTCGACCTCAGACGAATGTTTTCACTATCCAGCAGTAATGCTACCAAATCTTCCTGGTGTCCGAGCAGCATTGCTTTGCACAAAGCACTGGGCCAAAGTTGTCCCTGTGACTTCTACCCTAAACGTTCATTTTCATACAAACAAACAAACAGACAGAAACTGGATTCTGGCATTCTGTCCCCAAGACTGCAGGTGTAACTTGTAACCAAGGGGCAATTCTGGCCGTGGAAAATGTAGTATATACTTCTGTGCGAACACACATGTATGCTTCTAATGGAGGTAGGCAGCACGTCATTGATTTGGAAAGTGTGTGTAAGCGTGTACTAGTATCATGAGAGAAGCACACCATGACACAGAAGCATGATCTGAATAGAAGCCGCTCTCTGCAAAGTACATGTGCAAGTACATGCGAGGCAGGATGCACTGCACAGTGTAGACTGATGATGTTTTGAGTAGAAGCATAACTTGAATAGAAGCATGGTTTGAACCCCGGCTTATACGGCCGTAAGCACCTGCTTTTATACGCGACATTACGGTACTTTACTAAAAGTCTATAACGGTAGCACAATACACGGATAATTGTTGTGCTGTTTGTAGGTGAACTTGCTTTCAATTATAAGAACAACTTTTATAGCAACAAAAAAAACGAGGCAAGTAGTCGTGTGCAAGACCCGGTACATTTTTGTCTGCTGTCGCGTTTTAGCAAACTTTTCCAATCCATTTGACGGGGATGTTATGACGACGGTGCGCGACAAGGCAGCGACCGCCGAACTGCAGCGACTAGGCGTCCGTGTATCCAGCCAAGCATCATCAAGTGCACAAAACACATCAACGGCTGCTGCTACTGTTTGTGAGAGCAGCGGTGCAGCGTCACAACGACAGCCCCTTGCACACAGCGACGCTACTATCACATTGACTGGCAGTGTCCGAGGAACACGGCGTGACGCACTCACAGACGAAGAGTCCGTACTCATTGCGTGGAGTCCCCCAGGATTGTAAGTCTGTACTCTGCGTGTACGTGTGTGTTTTCTTTACGAGGGGGGCGCGGATTTTGCTCTATCTGTGTTGCCTTTTAAAAAAATTGTACTTTCGGTCCAATTTTTATCTTGAACTTGCATCAAGACGTGCAGTGTACAATCGCGGACTTGGACAAATAGCTTTGTCGTCCATCGCAACTTTGGGGGGGGGGGGGGGTGCCAGGAACTGTGCTGTTGCTCACATTCCACTGCCACATAACCTGTGTAGAAAGACTGACCCACAGCTGTAGTGACCTTATCAAATCCAAAGGGGCATTGTAGCAGGGAAACACACCCTGGGGATGGTAGGTTCAACACGATGGAGAGCAAGATCCCTTTATTATTATTTATTATTCTAGCGCAGGTTGATGTTGACCGTTGATGGACCCCGTCAATAGTCAAGATCTTAACTCATGACATTGGAGCCCGCACTTCCTGCTGGCACCGGCACTTGTAGTCCAGTTTGTACAACCTAGGAGTTTCCTGAAAGTAGGAAAACAGTCCATGGATATACCACACTTTGAAGGAAATAGTTCATATCGAAGTTTTCTATTAAAGGAGCTGTCCGGGGTTACGAATACAGTCTGCAACCATGCTGCATCACACGTTGACTTCCGTGTCCTTCTTATTCCAGGTGTGACGATGAATGGCTGCCGTCCACCGGTGCTCCCTATACCAGGGAGATTAGTCGACCATTGTGGTTCACTCACCAGGTGAATACTACTAACAGTGCTGCAAACACAGCCGATGATGTCAAGAACCTAGGCAGACGCAAACACCGGCGGAAAGTCACCGGTCCGTACTGATTTTTTAGGCCCGCTTTTTTTGTAGTTCGTTTTATTCAATGATGATTTCGAGTTATCACTGGTTATTGGTTTCATTCAAAAGTGAAAGTACAGGGCTTTCTTCTTGTCTTTTTTACACCGAGCTATCTGTACATGTATAGTTTCTTTTGATCCTGTCAACTTGGGTTGGGGCGCTTTTTATGGACGGCTTTGATTTCCCTTGCTTTCCAGAAAATGGTGAAATATTTTAATTTCAAGTTAATTTGTGTTGACTGTTGTAGAGTCGTGTTTCTTGCTGTGAGTGCTTTTCTTGTTTGCTCCTAATTTTTCACACAATGGAGTACAGACTCACTGGTATAGTACCATCTTCATTATTTTTCTTATCTCTCTGCTTTAGATCTGACGAGGAAGCATGTGTGAGACCATTTTAGCTACATGTATGTACCGTAGGCTGTTCCACTGTAATTACCGGTATGGTATTCATTTTTGTGGGGGGGGGGGGGTCTCTCTCTCCATGTGTGCTCCAAATTGTTTTGAGTGTTGTTCTATGTGATATCTAATTTTTAAGAGCAACACTGTCCGAGAAATCTATGCAACAGTGCTACGTGTACGGCTTCCGTGTTTGTGGGAGCATGGTGCTGTTTTGTATCACAATGTGACACCACTCGTATTGTACTCGGGTATACATCACTGGCCTTTGGTCAGGAGCCTGGACGGTGGTGCACACAAGGACTTCATGGTCAATATCATAGTTCGTTTAAAGACGCGTTGCTTTTGTGGTGTACGGCATGCAAGGGTCTTTGCCCTATGCAACTGGTTCTGGTATGGGGGTTTATTTGGTTTCGTTGCTTCGAACTGATGAACCACGCCGTGCTTGTAGGTGTTTATGACGGTGCTGTGCAAAGTGCATGTACCTACGCTGCACCGCACGAGTTCTTTCAAATTCCGTAGAGTTTGCCCCTTTGCATCCTGGTTTTGATCGTCGCACTGGAAATCTGCACAAATCCCCCATGCTGGGTCAAGTGTCCACGTTCTTGCAATGAGCGGTTGTGTACCGGTAGCTGTGCCAGTCTTCCTCTGACAAAAGTAATTGTGAAGACATTCAACAAGGAATTGAGAGATTTGTAGTACATGTACTACTGAGCAGTTTTCGAGTTTTACTTGTTAATGTAAATACTTGTAGTTGACAGTTAGTGTGTTCTAGGACTGTTTTGATTTTTCTCTGTTGCCTATTCTGCTGTGGCATGCGTATTAGCACCTCAGTAACCCCGCTCGTTCCTCATTCTTCATACCATTTTGGCCTAAGCGAAGACTAGCCAAGCTTGCTTGGCGATGTCAACGCGAAAAGGCTGATAATAATAACAATAAATTGAGAGATGTAAAGGCGTATCACTGACAAGTTTACAAGCAAACTTTTGAAAGATACTTTGTCCGGCATCATTTTGTGATCTGATTTACCATTCACATGACAGTTGTCTGTCGACAAGTCGGTTTTCTGCATTTCGGCTGTCATTGGGGTCATTTTTTAAATACTCATTAGCAAGACCCTCCCACCTCCCAAGCTTCGGTTGCTGCGGTGTCATGGCGTGTATGCTGTTTGCATCAGGTTCTGACGTGAAATTCACGATGATCTGCCACTTTCCTCTGTCCTCCTTTGCCGATGCCGGGGCAAATGTGCTGGGCGACTCCTAGTATGGGGTTGCACTGTGTCCTTATTGGACTGGGCTTGTATGGTGAGTTCTGCTTGTTCTACCTGCTGCTGCTGGTACTGCTGCTGGTTCAAGTGCCCGGTGTCATCATGGTTAGTTTTAGTCTCCCCTAGATATCTGGAAGTTTTGGGGCGTTTTGATGTACGTTCAGTGTTCCGTATTACTGGCCTGGCCTCTTGGTGTGCTGATTCGACCTTGGAAGTGGATGGCGCAGCCTTCCCTTCCACCATCAGCCTTAACCGTTTCCGCGACCGCGACCTCTTCTGGATCGGCGGGAGCGTTATTCGAACCCTGCGCTGCATTACTGGGCCAGTCTTGCCTTTTATGGCTGGCTTTTTCAGAGTTGTCCTCCTTTCGATTACGGGCACCGTTGGTCCGCCGTCGGGTATGCGTGAGGTTTGGTTCACCAGTGTCTTTCTGTAGATGTCCTTCACGGACTGCATGTGTAGCTCTGCACCGCCGCTGGCATTGTTTAACAAGCCTTCGGAGAAGTCGGCGTCACTGACTTTCTTCTTCACCCTGTCCATGCGCTGGGTCAGCATCGCCGCCTCGTACTGCAGCAGGAACACTTGTCGGCGAAGCTGGACGAACTCGAGGAACGAGCCGCCTGCCGCTGCCTCCCTCTCTTCCTTGTTCCTTTTGTCAAGCTGCGCCTTTAGCATCTGGACTTGCCTGTGCAGCTGTTCCTCCTCCAAGGACTTGTCGTCCACGAGTGCCTGTGCCGTTGCAGCCATATGCTGTGAGCATTTGAGGTTCTCTTGGAGCCGATCACGATGCATCTCTATGTGTTCCCGCCATGCCCGCTCGGACTCAAGCTCGGCGTATTGCCCCTTCACCTCCGCGCTCAGCTTGTCGATTTGAATTTCCTGATCGCTGATACTACGCTGCTGCTCCTTGATCTTAGACTCACAGGATTCCAGCTTGGCTTTGAGCACATCCGAACTCCGCATCAGAGCTTTGATCTGGTAGCAGAACAAGGTTAAACAGGCACACACGCACAAACACCCATGCACGCGCGCACACACACGCACGCACACACACACACACACACACACACACACATGGGTGCACACAACCGTGAAACCCTGCCAGAGGACCCATCTCTTCGAAGCTCACTGCCTTGATTTCTCGCTGGGGAAGTGACGACGATTGTGTCATAGTGTGATTCTGCAATGCCGCGCTGCACTACAGAACCGCTAGCAAGTTGATGAAACCGCATACCTGTTGACGTTTGCCGGTGTACAAGCTACGAGTGCAGGTTTGTGTGTGAACTCTGTTGGCTTCCATTAATTCTACCGTAGTCTGAAAACGGAGCCAGCAGACCAGCTATCTCCTGCTGAATTTGATTCAAGTGTGCATAGTGAGAAAAGCATTAGCATTGCTTGCGTTTCTTGTGCACCGGCGAAGCTCCATAGCCTCGACTTTACGACAGTGTGTTCTGTGCACTGGGTGGACTGCGATCAATGACTTTTGACTATACCTAGGTGTCTGTTCAGTACTGCAGTCTACACGTCCGCATCCTCGCTGCATGAGCACGATATGACTAGCCTGCGCGGCTGAGTTGCACAGAACCGTGGACCAATCATCTCCAATCCGCCCCACCACACGAAAAGGATCAAGGGACGGGGCGTTCTGGCGGGGGTTACGGTACAGTCAGACCTCGCATGACCGAACACGTAGACGTGAGGGAAGCATGCATGTATGTGTATGTATGTATGTATGTATGTATGTATGTATGTGTTTGTGTGTGTGTGTGTGTGTGTGTGTGTGTGTGTCCGTGTATGTTCACCGAGACACAGTCATGTGCATGCATCATACCTCGTCGTTGGCAGTATCCAAGAGCTTGAGATAGTGTTTCTCGCCGTTCTCAGCTGCTTTCTCAAAGTCCTTGGCTTGCGTCTTGAACATGTCGCGCTCCTCCTTGAAATTGTCCAACATAAATTCGTAGGTCTAGAGTTTTCAAACACACGTGCACACACACACACCGTATTCCACCATCTACACTACAGCTCCAGCACACAGTGTGAAATAGTCAACAGATCGAGGAATACCTCAGAGTAGCTCTTTAGTCTTTACTGATTCGTTTCCGTCAACCACCGCACCACAACTGCGCTATCCAGCCGACCTCGACACATTGCCACAGCACACCATCCACAAAGCCACACATCCATTGGTACTCAGTTCCTTCATACAGCAATTTCAGCTTTCGAGTATAACACTCTCATCAGTGAAGGTCTGATATTGTAGAATGGCGAGTAGATAGTGAGAATCACCCTTATTTAACTCTAAACTCTTCTGAAATATGTATAACGCGCTTGCACAAAACCCTCCTTACTCCTCCGAAATATGTATGACACGCTTGCACAAAACCCTCTCCATTCCGTGGAGCCAGCAGGGACAGCCTCGGCGGCATTGTGGTATTTTTTTCACTCACCCTACATCTTCTCTCCAGGTCTTGTTTGTCCTGTCGCATGCTGTTGACTGCCACGCTCGCTTCCTTCAGTTTCTCCAGGTATTCGCTCAACTCCGGGTTGACTGTAACACTTGCGCTCTGTCCATCGCAGTCTTGACTGCCAGCAGCCTAATGATCACGTGCACGAAAAGCACCGTATTCATTAAAGTGCTACATGTAGAACATGCACACGTGACATGGAGGTGGCACTGAAAAGCAAAAAATCACTTTATGCCCAGAGAAGCCAAAGACGGTACAGATCGTGTGTCTCCACACGCATGTGTGAATTTTGACAACATGAATATGGTACGCCTTCGCATTGGATTCAGGAGCAGCTACCGAACCAAACAGGACAATCATGTGGATGTCACATGCTATGTGCACATACACAATATTCCCAATAATAATTGTTGTCATGGTCCTCAATAATCAATATCCTCAACCTACCAAGAGCACAACTGGATCGGTTTGAGTCACCGCGTCGGAAATGTCTTTCATAAGCATCTCGCCTGCCACTCTCAACTTTACTAGTACGCAAGCCATTTTCTCCTCGTCCTGCAGCATACAGAAAGGAGCACAGTCAGTGAGAGGACGTGTAGATATAGAGCTGAAATGTTTCATGCTCCAACACTAAGTTATAACTAACAAGCCTGTTTTTTTCTTGTAGCGGAAGTCAACGTGTACGGTACGGTATGCACATGCGCACTCTTGAGTACAGTCAGACCTCACTTATCCGGTCCTCTTTTATCCGGATCCCTTGCCATCCGGAAGAAAACCGTTGGTTACCGATTTACAGCATTATACCATGCAGACATACAGTACGTGGGTTCGATTATCCGGTTCCCTCGCCTATCCGGATATTTTTGTGGAAAACGGATGTGTGCGGTTATGCGAGGTCTAACTGTAATCACGGTATGAGTTGAATCTCTAACAGGACACAGCGCTTAGCGTTTTAACGGGAAAATCTCCATCGTTGATAACTCAAGAAACCTTACTAGTATGCTATTCCGCACTAGAGAAGTATATAAGATGGGTGTGTGACGGCAGGGTCGTTAAACTAACGATACTTTGTGCCCAGCTAAGTGGCACAAATTTGCTAATCACTTTAAAAACTTTAGACTCGCCACACGTTCAACCCTTACAATACATGACCGTACACGGTCAATGTGTATGAGTTTTTTGCTGGAGAGAGGGAGGTCTTTGTTCTAATTACACCCAGAAGCTGTGGACTGCTGTCCATAGTTAGTAGTTGACATGGCAGTGATTATACTCCAAGTGAGGGTGGTTTGGCACCCAAGCGATGTTGTCCATCACTATCCCCCAGGTAAGCAAACATTTCTCCGCATGTGTTGCTCCTGCCTTTTCGAATAGCAATCAAACAGGCAAAGTGTGCGCATGCATGCAAACTCACCTCTTTAACTCTCTTTTGGTGCGCATTCTTCAGTTCCTGTATCTCCTGTTGAAGCTCCTGGGAACGATGAAGGACAGTTCAATGGACAGAGTACGCCATGATGGAGGGCCTTCCAATAAGAAAGGACACATACAAAACTTACGAAGGAAAGGTGGTAGGTGGTGACTGAATTTAAACAACTGCACACACTCGGATGATCTTTTAAAAATATCAACACATCTACTAGTGCTTACAGTGTAGGCAAACGTTTAAGTGCTAATCATCGCCATCGAGTCGTAAAAGTTGGAATGATGAATACCATGTACTGTGTCAGTAGAGTGGATACACATGCTTGCATGCACGTACCACACACTGAGCAGCCATTCCCACCCGATGGGAGTCTGGCAAGTGCTTGCATGCATGCACCACACACTGAGCAGCCATTCCCACCCGATGGGAGTCTGGCAAGTGACAAAAGACTTCAATTACATAATAATAATGTAGGTGTAAATTGTAGTAGCACAACACCCAGAGTGTATCAATGCTTTGGGCTACGCAGCCCTAACACGTACACGCATAGATTGTACAGTTTGTATTATTAGTTTTGCCCCAGGCCGAGTCAGCCCAGCGTGAGACTACAGTCCATTTCAAAACTATAGACGCGTACCTAGGCAAAAACCGTTATGCCAGCATCTATACCACATAAAATCTGTGATCACTTTGTGCATAATTTTTTCCAAATTGGGCGTCTGTTATCCAATCCTTTAGAAACTATATGAGAGTAATTGTGGAGCGATCCTGAGCAATATTCCGAAAACTATTCTCAAAAAGTTCCAGCCAAATTTGAAATATTTCAAAAACCCTACGCGTCTATAGTTTTGAAATGCACTGTAAGTACACTTATCAACTTCTACTATGAAGTGCGTTTAAACCGACTTTTAGCTCAGTCTGAGTAGAACTCCAGCTCTCAATTTTTTATTGCAAGGGTGGCTGGGCTGGGGACTCGGTGGGAAATGCAACCATGGAGTGTCCATGATGCTCAGTCTGGCATGCGGTGTTGTTTGCATTGTACATCTCGTGGCAAGGTTCATATTGGCCTCCGGAACAGGTTGAAAGCCACTGTGAGCTGGGTTTTATCCTGGGCCAAAATGTGAATAGCTGTAGGCACACCAACTAGGTACATCATAGTCTTCTGATGACTGCATATGCATAGCAACATCACAATTTGAGTAGAGGCATACTGAATTCCTTTCACTAGACTTAGTGTGCAGATACATCAACTACTGTAAAACCGGAAAGTCTAATGAGTCACAAAGTCTAGCGTTTTCACGACCATTTTTTTTTTCGTTATTCGAAGAAAAGTTATCGCGAACCCGGTTTGAGGTGTCTGTGTAAAGATACGCATACAGATGGGTGGCCAGGTAGCCATCGTTAAACTTTCTGCACGTTATCATGCCAAACTTACAAAAACGTTATTTTTGGTCGTTAAACTTTCCGGTTTTACAGTACTGTAGGAGGTGAAAGTGTGACGAGTTTAATAAGTGGAAGTCAGCCAAGAGCGACCGTTGATCCAAATATGCAAAACAACCTATAATGTGCTACCAGGAGTCCACAACCCGACTCTTGGTAGCACAGATATCAAACGTGAGCTATTCTCTGCTATGAGCAAGAGATGACTAATGTAGTGCGAGCCATCTGGTGAACATTCAACAACTCAACACGCCAAGAAATTACGACCCGCTCCGTGTATACGTAAACACGAACTTATCCGCTTTGCATCACCCCACACGTGTACGGCATTTGCACACATTACTACATGCGTAAAATGACTATGGTGTTGCTATTGACAGCCAATGATGGAGAGGAATGTGACGTACCAGAATATCGTCTTCGCACGAGTGCATCCTACAGGCGCATGCCTCCCCAGTCTGAAACACAGCAGCAGCAGCAACAGTAGCAGCAGCAGAAGCAGCATGCAATACACTGCAGTTACAATGGTGAATGCAGTCATACATTGTATCAATAGTGCGAACAATACCTACAAGTAGCTACCTGATGTTACACGCTGCAAAGTGCCATACCCCTCATGATCTCATGATCACACTCCTACCCATGTACTTGTGTGTTGTAATCGTCTCCAGCCACTCACAGGACCCCCAGGACTCACAGGACACCCAGGACACCCAGGACTCACAGGACACACACAGACTGAACTACACGTACATAAGTCTAGGTGTAGGTGACAACTTCAGTAAACGACGTACGCATGCTGCATTTCTGTGTTTCTGTGTACCGGCTGTGCAAACACCATCAAGAATAGATAACAGTCCTATACATCACATCACACGGACAAAGCCTAATTGAGGTGAGTTTTATTTCCAAAAGGTCTTCCGATAAGAGTACAAGGTTATGAATATTGATCACAACTGGCACTTTGTCAGGATACTGCGTCTAGGAGTACGCCGTTTTCCAGGAAACTTTCCCAGCAGCTGTGCTTGACCTCGGGGTAAGGATAGTGGACTGGACTGACCAGCAAAGCACACAGGAAGCAGTCTGCATGCCTACAACACGGAATCAACCGCCCACTGGTGGTGGCAAGCTGCCTCGTTGAGTCAGTTTGTTGGTTGTCGTCGTCAGATGGCGACAACGCAGGGCATCAATCATTAATCGAATTTCAAGGTGATACTTACAGAGTGAATGAGATCTGGGGGGGGGGGGGGGGGGGGGGAGAGAGAGAGAGAGAGAGAGAGAGAGAGAGAGAGAGAGAGAGAGAGAGAGAGAGAGAGAGAGAGAGAGAGAGAGAGAGAGAGAGAGAGAGAGCAGGACCACATCATACAATGCATTCCTTGCACTGCATGGTGGCCAACATTGTAACACTGAGCTTCGCAAATCATGGCGGCAAGCCATTCTAGCATCATTCTCTTTCGAAGAAACAGATGACCACCGGCCACAACTAAGGACCCATTATTTGTATCTCGGATTTTTTCTCCCCCCCCCCCCCCCCCCAACCCCCAACCCTACCGAAAAGGGGGTTGCTTCGGATACCTACACTATACTATAGTCATCGCTTGCCCTCATTGATTTCCGCACAGGTGCATACCGTCATGTAACATTGCATGTATCCGCCGGGCGCCAGCATGTTTGCATGCCTGTTGCTCTTTCCTGACTCACTCTAAGTTTAATGATAGTGAGTTCGGTCTCACCATACTCCTAGTACTAGTGGATTGATGGCCTCTCTTGTGCAATGGTATTATTCCAGAAGTTCTTAAGTATGTCAAAGTAGAAGGTTACTAATCAGAAGAGGCCCTAGAACAGCCTGGCCCTAGAGATGATTATTCTATTATCAGCAACATGATTCTCTTCAGAAATGTGTGTGTGTGTGTATATGTGTGTGTGTGTGTATATATGTGCGTGTGTGTGTCTGTATATGTGCGTGTTTGTGTGTGTATGTTACGTCCACCCACCAGCGCAAACATGTACTGTGCATGAGCGGGAAAGCCTGCTGCCCAGCACCACTGCCAATGTCACCGACTCAAGTAGACAAGATGGATCCATTCACCAAAGCAGGCTCATGTCTGCAGACACTGGCTTAGCATAATGAAAAGCCAGTGGACTCTCCCAATCCACCCAATCAAGACAATCCCTCCACATGTACGCATGACACAGGCCACTTTTAGGTTACCGAACACTTCCTTATTCAAGTGTTATCAGCCCATTGGCATTACTGCTGGGACACCGGGCCTCGTGGGGTAATGACACACTGAAAACTCCCCGGCATTCTGATTTGGTATTTTAATTTATTTTTTATTGAGTTCCACGTTTGGATAGAGAATAAGTACTACCCTAGCAGAGTACAGGCAGTCAGCCGTTGAACACACGTACACACATGTGCACACACACACACACACACGTGCGCCACACACACATACACACACACATACACACACACACGTATATCCACAATGTGACATACACCACGCACGCACACACACATATCCACATACACGCGTGTACTTGCACAGTGTGCACTAAGCACACAATGCCATGTATAGTTCTACTCAATGAAATCCGGACAGCGTACATACATGTACATGTACGTCAGCACCACCGGGCAATGTGGGAACCTAGTGGAGCCGCAGATCTACAGGAAGATTAAATGCTGTTGTGCATTGGTGTAAGGTGCGAACGTATTCATGAACTCGGATTTCATTGAACAACGGTACTATACAGGTCTGCTCTCGATGTAACAACTCTCATTTGTACGTAAACCTCGCTAGTACGTAAAAACATCAAATCCCGCGCCGAAACAGCACCACTCCCATACAAATTTTGTTCTACACAACATAATCCTACATAACGTAAACCTCGACATAACGCACGCTACGGCGCGGTCCCCAACGGGCGCACTCTCAACATAAATTCACGTCTGCGGTACCATCAATCTGTAGCTGCAGCTAGCCAGTCTAGGCCAGTTTAGTCCTACATAACATAAACCTCGACATAACGCACACTACGATGCGGTCCCCGACGCGCGCACTCTCGATACAACGTAGATTCACGTGCGCAGTACGATCGATCTGTAGCTGTAGCTAGCCAGTTTAGTCCTAAATTCTGTGGCATTGATTGCATCTGATGTCGATGGTGGTACAGTGTGTACATGTTTGCATGGTTGAATCCGTCTTGTAATATCCTTCATTTTGAGGTACGAGTCTTGTCTGGAATTTACACACGGTTTTCTACATAAGTCATAACTCTCGATATAACATATTTTTTGCGTGGTCCCAGAGATTACGCTATATGGAGAGTAGCCCTGTACTGTGCATTGTATCCATGCATCCAATCTTATGCTCCCCCCCCCCCCCCCCACACACACACACACACATACAGTGTATGAGTATGGTGACAGCCAGGTACCGGTTGTATTCGCCATAACATGAAAGCACTGTCAACGCTCCATGCCTGGTGCCATGTGTATAGTGTGACGATGGCACAGCTCTACCCACACAACATCACCACATCTACACGTCCATGTACTCTCACTGACACCTATTTTTTTACAGGAATGACCCACTGGTGCACCTGACGCTAGCGGATTCGTTTTTAGACAACATCGGCACTGCACTGCACTGGGGATAGCAAGCATGCGTACAGTCCTGCAATAACTGCACTTTATATTGACAATAGTACATGTAAGTTACAGTACATCATCCAAGGCACTAATTAGTAGTTACTGAAGTAGTTTCACTGGATGGTCTTTCGTCTATGTGCATGTACAGTGCTGGCAACTGAAATCCGACCCCCGAGCGGTGTGCTAACATCGCAAAGCCCCAGCACGGGATTGTAACATTACAAAATAGAGACCGCTTAGAATCGGTGCTGCGCTCCAGCACGAAAGTCAGGGGTTGGATTTCAGTTGCCAGCACTGTACTACCAGCCGTATAGCACACACCAACACCAATTAATAGCAGTCAGAGATACATGCACTTCATGTACTACTTGTACAGCAGTTACACAGACACTGTACTGTTACTGTGCTCTGGACTTGAGCGGTACCGGTACATGCTGCTCCTTATCTATGTTATTTTAAATACCACGTTTACTCAGTACTAGATAAATCAGCACAAATCTTTCCCCAATGCATTGCGACATCCGACTCCTGACTTGACCAGAAATCCTGCCGCAGCATGGATAGCTCACGGTGTGTACACAAGATGCAGCATGCCGGAAGCTAAGTGAGTGGCTCTTGGGGGAAGGAAATGATTACAAGCTACACGCTACATAGTATTGAGAGCTGAGCTGCACCTGCAGTTGCATGACAGTGTACAAGACTCCCGGGCCTTATTGGACCTCATTGCGTCACAACCGGAACAATGAATACACCGCTCGCAGCAATTACATGCAGTGTATCGGCTATCATTTCCAGTTCCAAGACGTTTGGAATAGACACGCATGCACGCACACGATCACACACTTACACACACATGTGCATGCACTGCTGTCTGTATGAGCGCCCCCCCCCCCCCCCCATACACACACAGTGAAGTGTGAGACACACAGCTGCTCACAAAGATGTTCTCTACGAAGTGAATTACTTGTACAACACTGGGATCTCATCTGGAACCTCATCCGGACTGAAGCTACCCTAAGGAAGGAATAAGGCCGGCTCAAGAAATCACAAGACACGGCTTCAGTAGAGAACACACCATGTGCGCGCACTCGCCACAATTGCAATTTGCCAGGATACATTCATTGGTCTACATTGCAGATAGCCAAAGTAACTACAAACTACATGTACATGTAGGTCCACATTTCAAATCAAGAGAAGACTAGCCTAATCTACCAAAAAAACCAACTCCTCTCATAGACTCCCTGTGTTACAAGCCGTACACAATGTACTGGTGCACGGTGTTTGAAAAGATACTTGACCCAAAGAGGATCAACATGCTAGACCACCCATGCACATTTCCTAGTGTTCATGACGGCTGGCTGGCTCTCACAAGGATGGATCACATTTCAACATTTTTCAACATCCTAGCTCCGGCTCTTCTGATTCTGTCCTCGGCACCTCCTGCTGGTAGGTGATGCCAATACACACACACACACACACACACACACACACACACACACACACACACACACACACACACACACACACACACACACACACACACACACACACACACACACACACACACACACACACACACACACACACACACACACACACACACACACACACACACACACACACACACACACACACACACACACACACACACACACACACACACACACACACACACACACACACACACACACACACACACACACACACACACACACACACACACACACACACACACACACACACACACACACACACACACACACACACACACACACACACACACACACACACACACACACACACACACACACACACACACACACACACACACACACACACACACACACACACACACACACACACACACACACACACACACACACACACACACACACACACACACACACACACACACACACACACACACACACACACACACACACACACACACACACACACACACACACACACACACACACACACACACACACACACACACACACACACACACACACACACACACACACACACACACACACACACACACACACACACACACACACACACACACACACACACACACACACACACACACACACACACACACACACACACACACACACACACACACACACACACACACACACACACACACACACACACACACACACACACACACACACACACACACACACACACACACACACACACACACACACAACACGGAGCACACTTCACCCGCACCAACATTTGCATTGGGATTTGAAGTGGACGGAGCTCACTGACACTGGTAGCATTGTATTCCCACACCTGGTGACGTCCCCTACTCAGCGGCCCCACTATCCACTTGCTTCTGAAGGGCAAGTATTTGATATGATTGGTACGGACATTCTGAGAGCACATTATTATAATTATCCTCTCTGACACGGAGTGAGAATGTGTACTTTCACTGAGTACCACCTACTCCAGAAGGACGTTTGTGGAGATCAGTATCGTCCTTTTTGCACATGCAGAACAGGATATGAACAACAGGACCCTCGGAATGCCCGGATTTCTCTTCCAGAAAGTCAAAATGATCCACCTTTTAGATTGTCCTGATCCACCAATAACTCGGTTTAAAATTGCATACGGACATGTACATGTACAATGGACTGGACAGCTGTACTTCAAGTCATATGTACAGTTTACATGTACATGTGGCTCTTATAAACATTTACCAATTTCAAGGTTTGCGTGCCATCACCCTCAAGGATCAAGGCGCAGATGCCGCAGCTCCCTAAAGCGGTGGGAGGTGAGTGTGAGTAGACTAGACCCACCACAGGGGCGTCGGAACCGGTGCGGCAGGTGCGGCTTTGTCGAGTGATTTTTGAAGCAACGGAATATGGGCTAGTTTAGCCCGATTTCCCTAAAGTTTTCCCAGGGGAGGACCCCTGGACCTTTCACTCATCCATGGCCGCACCAATGTCGAATACTTTCCGACGCCCCTGCACCACCACCAAGTGGTCGAAGACCGAAAATCCCATTCACTGCATCCATGTGTCCCCGGTTATGCCAAGCCAGGCCACAAGTTCCCAATTAACTGACACGGGCTGGAAAAATCCTTCAGATTCCAAGCAGGACTTAACCTGGTGGCCTCTGTTTCTCAATCACAGTCGTAGACCATCCCACTATGCCTACCTTAGCTCTTATAGAACACATCTAGTAATAACATCGATAATTGACGTTTACTCGTACTGTGATATATTGTCTCCCAGGTCTAAACACTCCACTCTATCAACTGCCTCTGCCTTTGGGCGATCGCTGCCTTATCATCAAGGCTTCATTATTGTGCTTCAAGTATCTGCACCACCACCAGGAGACACACTTTCTCGCCATTCTCTCACTATGCTTGTCCAGTCAGCAGGAGATTTCTCCATGCAGTCTGGCCTTCAGGGTAACCACCCACACGGGTCATTGGCCAATCCACCTAAATCACCCACGGCATGACATTAATCTTTGTAGTCTTTATAGCAATATAGGCGCTCCTGCTACTGACACTGTAGTGCCTAAGCTAGTAACAGGTTAGAGCTTCCCTTCCCCCCACCCCTTCTCTCTCTCTCTCCACCCGCAGATCAATCAGAACGGATTTTGGGCGATTGTCCCTGGGGCAATTTCAAGGCTGCAGAGCATAGTGCTAGAGTGGGTACAATGATGGTAGGTTTCGGTTTGGCAAGCATTAGTGTACCCATGAACAACACCAATCACTATTCTTCCGCGTGCCCGAAGGATAATGCGACTGTGGACGAACTCCGTCTTTTTGCAACTATTACTTACCAACAGGTTTTCTCGGGCTTTCTCCAGGTTGTCAGCGGCCATCTTCCATCGCTTCTTTTCCTTGACCGCCTTGCAAAACGCTCTCGCCAGTTCCTCTACGTCGAACATGAGTTGGTCGTCACTCTCCGCAACATTCCTGGGACCTCCGCTGTCGTCGGTGCGACCGGGAGCAGCTGAGAGTCGAACGAGGATTCTTTGGAGAGCTTTGTGACGGCGGTCAGCCGGCTTCCCCGTCGATGGTACATCAGTCGACGACATGAGCTCCGCTCAGTTGACGGGTTGGGGCTACCTTCCCTTAGAGAACTACAAAGTGCCGAAAGTAGGAAAGATGTCAAATAATTGATACCGTAGCCAAAGTACTATGACTGTATAGTTGTCGATTGCGAGTAATATCGGTATCACGATCACGAAGCGGCGCAGCGGTGCATGTCCATGTCGCTATCACAAATCTTGCACAAACTGCTAGTGTCAAGCCTACAAAAAACTAAAGTCAGTAGCAAAGACCGTGTACGCGTAGTCAGTCAAAACTCTGACCAAGGGGGCAAGTGTGGTCCCGAACAAAGAAGAAAGGCCTGCGAGAAAGACACCACGTTCATGTACAGTGTAATTGTTGCAGCGGCATTTACATGTGTAGGTACTGTACTACTACTAGTACTAGTACTAGGTAGAAGCTAGTTCAAGAAAGGAGGCACGAAGAGCTATGTGGTCGTCGGTGCTTGGCATTTTGTGTGGCATGGTGTAGATCTTTGTACACCCTGGCTTAGCCTGGGCAGACTAGACCTGCATGTGGGAGGCTGAAGACCTGCCTAGCCTGTCTAGTGTAGATCTAGATCTACCTCTGAGCCGTAGATCTACACACATGACTGCCCTCGGGGCCTACGTCCACCACCGCGGCACTGCGAAGCGTTTTTAGTGATCAGACTCAGAGGGAAAAGAGGCCCGGAGACCGATTTTGTTTGTAGCCTAAATGTAGGTCAAGATAATTATTGCCAAAAATCAGCCGAGCTGAGTTGACACCGACAGTCATTATGATCACATAATCATTGTATGACTATGTGACCTATGCCCATGTATGGATATGCGCTATCCTGCGCCGCGCTGCAACGGATTTTGGCTCTTTGCTTAGTTTTAGTTTAGCCTTTACAAGGCAGCCTTCGTCCTAATAAAACGTGTTTTCTCGATCGGGGATTGGCTCCTCAGATCATGTTGTTACTAATGTTAGGGGGAGTGTTCGCGATCCCGGATTCGCGCGCGTACGTACATGTACATGTAGATACGTGTAGGTTGTATTTGGTCCTTTTTGGAGCACTAGTTTCACCCCGGGATAGCCGTATTTAGACGGGCAGAGCATTGCGCCACGTGGGAGTGTCTCACCAGTAAGAGCTCTTCCGGGTTCAGGGGTCAGCCGACTTTTGCCCCGGGCGTCCACGTAGCTCCATCAATCGGCCGATCGGATCTTCGGAGATCGCAACCAGGTAGTGCAGAATCGTACTTTAGTACTATCTGATCGGAAGGGCTTATCGCAATCCCCTGATTGACGGTGTCTTGCTTCAGTTTAGGGCGTTGTCCCTGTTGGGCTCCGATCTCAGCAGTATTCGCCTTGTGGCATGCACGGCTACCGACGATTGTGCATCTTCAGCTCGGCGGCCATGAGTTCGGGGACGGAGTGTACTTTGGATTGACCTTTTTCTTTTAAATCTTCCGAACTGTCCTGTCCCCGGAAGAGACTACTGAGTCTTTTTCGAAGCCACTTGGAGGGCATGGACAGCGATAAATTCACACTTGGATACCCACAAAATACTAATCATGTACATGTATTGGGGGTCCAAGAGGTGATCTTTTCGTCGGGGTCGGACCAAAAACAATCCCAACCAGGGAGTTGTAAAATTCCCTTCCCCTGCATGGCCACAAACAGACAGTGAGACACGAGCGAGCATCGCGCAAGACACCATGGTCCATGTATATCACGCCATGGATTCGTACGGTGCACCGGTGTTACATAAAAATCGGTGCTCGGGAGAAGGAATATGAGGTGAGCTTGACTTTTTCTTTATACGGGAATAGCAGGGTTATTATGGACTCTTGTCTTGAGGACAGGTACGTTTGTTATTCGATTGTAGCTCTACTCTCAATCGAGATCAGTTTATTAATTTTTGTATGATGAAGTAAGCCCACTTGTTGGCTAACCAGATTGTCCACTATCAGCTAACGAAAGGAGCGGACTGCGAGGATTCACACTGTCTTCTGTGAGACGCAACATCGACAGATATCTGAGCCGAGCTACATTGTAGGTGAGCTTTGACTTACGCAATTACATGTGTGAAGTGGGTACACTCGATACGAGTGTGGTTGCACACTATTTGTATGCATGATACCAAGAGTACATAACCCAGTGGGGTTATGTACTCTTGATGATACTTTGAGCTGAGGGAGGCAGGATCAGAGAGAGAGAGAGAGAGAGAGAGAGAGAGAGAGAGAGGGAGGGAGAGAGCGAGAGAGTACGCGATAATCATTATGGTGTCTGGGTTGTCGGACTTCACCACTCCACGCCCACAGCCCACTATGTAATTAGTAATTACAATTTACATGTAATGTGTGGGGGGTTAATGGGTTAGTTCTTGGCATAATTGTATTTACATAGAGCTCCATTGAAAACTGAGATGTGCATGTACATGTACATTTATGTACTGAAGTATGTTTATCAGCTTGATGTTCATGTACCTCAATCTTGCATGTATTTACTGAGTTTAGTGCCTCGGAAACGACTTACGTAGCTTGCTTCCCGTCAGCTGTAGCGCTTGCATTCTGTTCGCGTATTACAGCCGTTGCAATTCAGTTTAGCCTAACTTTAGGTCCAGGCTTTGTTTCTGAGTGGTTATCGCTGAAATAATTGTACACGTGGGTCGTGTGAGCGATACATGTCACTTGTACATTGTTCGTGTGGTTGCGACGTAGGTCTGTTACTTTTTTTGGTACCGGGATACTTCTTTGATTGTCCTCCAGCCAGCAGCTGCTGCCGTCGGGTTGCAATTATGTGTACGTATGTGTACGTATGTGTACGGCTAGTGCAGCTTTTATCTTCATGGGTCACTGAGATTGTCAATGTCAGACGTTTTCTTTCCAAGAGATGGACGCTCTTCCGTGCACGGCTGCATCGCTGCACACTCGTGCCCTGCATCCAGGAAATGTGGACTGTACTGTCGACTGTGGTACGTTCGTCGATGGGCTTGAAGGCAATACAGCCTTCATCGGCGAAGGCGACTCCGTTGTCGCAACGGAACAGCCATCAGTCCTGTAGTCATTTTCAAGAGAAACGCACCATGAACATAACTGCCCCGGCGATGTGTGTTTGTAAAAGGCATGGTCCATAATAATTAACATGGTGTGCTTTCGACATGGAAGAGCCGCAGTTCCTTCTCCCCACTTTCCTCCTAACTAACTTATTTAGCATGGTCTTCCTTTAGCCGGAAACTGCTTGTCATTGGAGTTCCTGTGAGTGTAACAATGATTCTGTTGTGCCAAGTTTGGATCCTGTTGGAGCGCTTGAGCTTTGAGTCGGTTTGACCTGCTGCACTGGTTGCAGTGGCAAAATCCTGTCTTCTACGCACGGGAGCCTGAACTGTGCCCCAGGCGATAGCCGTACAAACCCATTGTACAACACACTGCCCTCCGCGCTGAACCATTCCATATTAGCTAGTCGCCAGGTGGAATTGGCAGGTTCTCCTCCTTACTTGGATCACCCACATGTCAAAGTCTTTCGCAGAATGTCCGTAATGTCTTTCACCTGATTTGGTTTCCTCTGCAAGCTCTGCCGTTGCTTTGCTACAGGGACTGGGCACTATCCTTCGGTGTCCTTGTTTCGACGACTCTGTGTTTCACGGCACGCAGCAGAGTGTTGGGCTACATGTGTGGCCATTCTTCCCATGCTGCTTTTCTTTGTCGTACCGTATTCTTTGGACTTGAATCTGGGCCGTGGACAACGTGTATTCTGAAATCGAGCGGTTCCGCCGTGTGGGTCCTTCTGAGCATCTTGTGTTCCTGATTGCCTGCTAGCAGTTCTCAGGTTCTGGGCCACTGGAGTTAGTTATTTTTCGTGGTCACCCTCTTGCCTCGAATGCTTGACTTAGGACCATTTCCGGTACACAAGAGGGCTGCTAGAGGCGGAGATTTCTGTATGTTCGGCGAGAAATATCCCTCGTACCCGTAAACGAAATATTTCACGTATGTTCTCTGGACTTCTTCTGCCAATAATATGACCTGTGCGTGCAGAGAGGGTTGAACTGGAGCAGATTTCGTGGAACTGAGGGACGGTCGAGTCACTGCGACATTCAGGCTCCGGTATGTGCATAGAATGATCGACAACTGTGTGTTTATTTCATACATGTAATTAAGCGATTTATGCCCCATGGCAGAGTACTGTAACTAATGTTTACTTACAAGTTGGCTCTCAGAGCACAGTGTCAATAGTGTAAAACTGTCATTAGTGGGTTGACTATACATTATATAGGTCATGTCATGTGCAATGTAGCACCGTATTTTTTTCCTTTTCAAAAGCTGCTGAAGTCCCCAGGGCAAAAAAGTTGGAGATGGAAGTACCATATTCCCCTGATCATAGTGGTCCATCTATCCATGTACTTCATGTCGTGCCCCGGAAACTCTTTGTGTTGCCTTTGGGGACTGTCCAACTCAACATTCAAATGATGATGATGATGATCACAATGCGTATGGCAACGGCCACGCACCGGGACACATGCTAACTATATGTAACTATTTTGCGATGCGTTTCCCGCACGCGAATGTAGTAAAAATGGGACTGAAGTCGCATCCAAATACATGTATATATACATGTAAGTCGCACCCCCATTTTCAGGTCTCTGTTGATACGTTCTAGTGGGTTCGTGTGAGTAGTAGTCCACATTCGATTGTAAGCCGTGCCTCCTTCTTCGACTTTGCGGTTTCTTGTAAAAAAAAAGGTGCGACATTTACTCAGGGGAAACACAGTATCCATATTTGGAGTCCTAAGCTTGGGTGTGGACGAGGGAACGTTTCAGCTGCACTTCAGTATTTAGTATTAGAAATGCGCTCAATGTTTTCGCCGAATGAACTTCACACAGCAGAATTGTACTCTTGCATTCCAGATGACCGTGTTCCCCAGCCCCCAGGTGAGGGTGCCATGCCGGCTAAAGGCATATGGAATCGTCCTGACCTAAGCAGAAGTGCCGTGATTTATCATGCAACTTTGCCTATCGTATCACCGACTCTAGTGTGGTATAGCCCTTGGCGGGCAATGCCGGCAGAAAAATTGGCAGAATTCGGTACTTTTTCTGGTATATTGCATACATGTTTGGTATGTGGTTAAGAAATGGAGCAGAATTCAAGGAAATGTCTACCATATTGTTTGTACTGGTTTGCCAACTTCACTGCTTTTCAAGCAGAGTCTGCCAATGTTTCAAGCATTATCCGCCATGGGCTAGTGAGACCAAGTCCGTATATCAGCACCCAGTATTGCAGTGGTATGCTGCATACAATGTATTGTCAGAGTACAGAGTACAGTGTACATTGTATGTCCCTTGTTTGTTCGTGTGTGTGCGTGTGTGTGCGTGCGTGTGTGCGTGTACATATGCATTGTTTGGGTGTGCGCACCTTCTTTAGAGTGCGAGTGTTGGTCCCCAGGCCGAACGCTTTGTGTGCTAAAGGGG